AATGGAAATTAAAATGGAAAATGGTACTCGAGGAAGAGTGCAAGTAAAACTTTCATGCATGAAGATGTGCGGCTCCACCTTTGTCGCGCGCGGCTTCTTCGGTTTGTGGTCGGCTTTTTTGTACCTCCCCTCCTCCTCCCCCCGACTCTCTTCTTTTTGCCTGGATTGCGTTATGCGCATTTACGTTTGTTAGAAAGTTTTTCACTCGTGGAAAAACATTTCGCGATCGTTACGCCCCTCTAGAACTCTATTATACACATGACTCCGAGGGGAGATCACCAAGAAATTTCTTCTTTCGCGACCGCACATTTTCGACAAGCAAGGTTGGATAAGAGCATGGTTTCTTTTTTTTTTCTTCACGTCTTTTCGAGCATGCGACACGATAATGGATTACAATGGACAGCGAGACGGCGAGCGGGAACATTGATTTCGTAAGCCTTATTATCGATTTCGGATATTTGAGCTGTCTATGAAGTTGAATATTCCGTGCGGATGGGGAAAGTCGATGATGATGAATATTGCTGAGAGAGAGAGAGAAAGAGAGATGACTTGACTCGCTAAACAACATATCTCGCGTGTGATGCCATATGCGCGTGCATATCTACTTATGTACAAAATTTAATATGACCGCAAAGTGTAGAATTTGCATAAGCGCCTCGCGCTTCATTGAGATATGTGCTGTTATTAGGACACGCGATAAAATTTTATTGGCAACAAAATTACGGTTGCCAATAATCGAGAGTGCGATTTTCGAAAATCAGGCACACGACGCTTGTTAAAAACATAAACTTCTATAGCCGATTGTATCGACATAAAAAATGTCATTTCGGTGCGTGTGTTTTGGAGAAATTTATAAAGTTTTACGCCCGAGATGAGAGTGAATTTCGATTGTAAATTAGAAAATGTATCCGTTAATCATTATAATGAATTGGCCAAACAAATAATTAAAGTAGATTGCCTTATACAGGGTGAGTCATTTTAATTTCCCCAGTCTAATAACTTTTGAAACAAGCAAATTACGCAAAAATGTTTCAGACCAAAGTTGTAGGGGTTCAAGGGGGACATCTAGGGGTGACTTTGAAATTGACCTTGAGCTTGACCTTGACGGTTTTCTCAAGGTCATTTCTATTTTTTTAATGGAAACCCCTATTTCTGATCTCAGGATCAGAAAGAGCGGGAAATTTTACGTTCAAGTATCTATTTAGTTTTTTTTCATAAGAACATAAACAATATTTCAGTTTTTACTTAAGAAATTGAAGCCGCTTTCAAACATCAAAAGGTTTAACGAGCATCGAAGACCTTTGTCGTACTTCTATTCTCAATGTGAAGCAAAGGTCAAATTCTTGAAAATTCTCTTATTTTTGTTACATTTCGAGGCGAAGCTTTTATCGCATATGACCGTTGTTAAATAAACTTCCAAAGAATAAGGGACTGGCCATGTACTAACGATGCTGATGTTTAAGATCATAAACTTCCTATCTTTAGCACTACCCAGGAACAACGACGTGGACGTAATAGGATTATGTTCCCTCTGGGGTGCTTTATTAACGTGAATCCCCTTGCCTCTCACGATTCGGGGTGCTTTATTAACGTGAATCCCCTTGCCTCTCACGATTTGGGGTGCTTTATTAATGTGAGTCCCCTTGCCTCTCACAATTCGTGATGAAACTAGAATAAACTTATTTCCTATCGGTTTTGCTCGAAATTATTACCATTTACGTCGATGCATTGCCTGAGCCTCTGTTCGAAGCTTTCAATAGTGCGCAGTAAGATATCTCTAGAGATTTGTCTACATGCAACTCTAATCCTTTCTATCATATTCTCCCTTGTTGTGGGCGCTTCGGCGAACACAGTATTTTTTAAGTATCCCCAAAGGAAGAAATCTGGGGAAGTTAAGTCCGGTGATCGTGCAGGCCAAGCAACTGGACCACCTCTTCCAATCCACCTTTGTTGGAAATTTCTATTTAAAGACTCTCGTACAATTAAAGCGAAATGCGGTCCTGCACCGTCCAGTTGTATCCACATTCGACGTCTAGTCTCAAGATCTACGTCTTCAAGTAAAAGTGGGAGATGATCCCTTAAAAGTTCTAAAATAGCATTGCCGTTGACGTTTTCTTCAAAAAAGAATGGCCCGATGAGATGACCATTAACTATTCCACACCATACATTTACACTCCAACGATGTTGATTATCGACTGGTCTGTACCAGTGAGGATTCTGATCAGACCAATAATGACTGTTGTGACGATTCAATTGGCCAGTACTATGAAACGTAGCTTTATCAGAAAAAAGGACATAATTAAAAAAATTCGGATCCTGCAAAATCATCTGTAGAGCCCACCGACAGAAATTTACTCTGTTTCTCATATCATTAGCGTTTAATGCTTGCGTTAAGGTAATATGATACGGATGATATCTATTACTTCTTAAAATTCTAATAACGGTTCTTTGAGGTATTCCTGTTTCTCTCTCTATTTGTCGGCTGCTGATATGAGGATTTAGGTGAACCAATCCTAAGACAACCAAAACCCTAGCATCTCTATCATCATACTCATGTCTTGGTCGACTTCTTCGTAGATGCCCTTGTCGAGCTCTTTCTTCAAGACGATGAATGGTACGGTGATCAGGATGGCGCCTTTGTGGGTATCGAATTCGATACAACCTTGACGCTTCACGGTAATTACCTCTACATTCTCCTAAAATCCAAATCATATCAACTATCTCTGTTGGGGTAAAATCAGCCATATTTAAAAGATTTTTTCAAAAAACCTCAATACAAATCAACAAAGGCAAAGATCATAGAAAGGTGATACAAATTAAATATTACTGAAAACAGAGGCAATATTGTCCAAATTAGATTTCATATGATCGATGGCAATAAGAAAGGTCTCTTATTCAAATATGAAGAAATAATGATAGTGATACAATGAACACAAGCATAGTTAAAACAAAAGTAATATTTAAAGCTTTTTCAAAATTGAAATCACGACTGAACGTATTGCGATTACTTTCTAAACGACTTCCAAATGTAATAGATTCTTCATTGAACATGAAATTTATCCTTATGTATTTAACTTTTACTCTTATTTCTTTGCAGAACATCAGATTGATACTGAAATAGTTTCATTAATTTAATAGACTTGTAATAGCAAATTATTAGCAACAACTTCCAATATTTGAAATTTATTAATAATAATTATACAGTCCGGTGAAAAATAAAAAGGATAGGGAACGGAAACAAGAATAGTCCCGTAAAATTTAAAAAAATTAAATTTAAAAAATTTTAAAATTTAAAAAATTTAAATCCTGTAAAATTTCCTGCTCTTTCCGATTCCGAGGTCAGAAATAACGGTTCCCAATAAAAAAATAGACTTGACCTTGAGAAAGCCGTCAAGGTCAAGCTCAAGGTCAATTTCAAAGTCACCCCTAGACGTCCCCCTTGAACTCCTACAACTTTTTTCTGAGTCATTTTTTCGTATTTTGCTTACATTGTTCGATTCTTGTTCCAGGATAGTTTTGACCTTAGCATGACCTTAAGGGTTTATTTTGACCCATGTTAAAAGATGTTATCTGGATGTAAAATTTCCCGCTCTTTCCGATTCCGAGGTCAGAAATAGGGGTTCCCAATAAAAAAATAGACTTGACCTTGAGAAAGCCGTCAAGGTCAAGCTCAAGGTCAATTTCAAAGTCACCCCTAGACGTCCCCCTTGAACCCCTACAACTTTGGTCTGAAACATTTTTTCGTATTTTGCTTACATTGTTCGATTCTTGTTCCAGGATAGTTTTGACCTTAGCATGACCTTAAGGGTTTATTTTGACCCATGTTAAAAGATGTTATCTGGATGTAAAATTTCCCGCTCTTTCCGATTCCGAGGTCAGAAATAGGCGTTCCCAATAAAAAAATAGACTTGACCTTGAGAAAGCCGTCAAGGTCAAGCTCAAGGTCAATTTCAAAGTCACCCCTAGATGTCCCCCTTGAACCCCTACAACTTTGGTCTGAAACATTTTTGCGTAATTTGCTTGTTTCAAAAGTTATTAGACTGGGGAAATTAAAATGACTCACCCTGTATAGTATATTCAAATCAGATTTACTATCATAACTTTCTTGCACATACAAATATTCAATCTTTTTCGTGTAATATCGCATCCAGTTAATCTGTAATACTCGTTGAATATATTTTTCGAAATTTAATCATTATAACCCACTACTTGGCATAAATTCAAATAAGAATAACGGATCTTGAAATTAACGCGTAGTTTTATTGTGAAATGTAGGATGCGTTGCATTTGGAAATATATGCCCACTCAAAATAACTACTTACGACTTCTGATTCTACTGAAAAATGACTTGCTTTTTCTTGACATGGCTACGTGAAAAATGTTTGTGATGTTTGTTCTCTCATCAGTTAGCTGCAGTATTGCCAGTTCAATAAATCAAAACGCTTACCGATGTCGACTATAATATCTATTACATTAACATATATATGCAAGTTGCAACACGGGATAACAAGCTAGAAACGTGATCTGAGATATAGGAACTGAATAGTTTCTACATTACGAGGCAGTATAATTTTTCACTTTTCAACTAATTTCTCACTATATTCTTTAATAATGATATTTCATCAAACTCAAAATAATTTGTTTGGAATTGAATTTGAATTTGAAATGAAAAAAATAAATATTCCAAATTAATTTGAAAATTAGTTTATCGAAATTAAAAGTGCACGTGTAGTCGGACTGCACCTGAAAGCGCGCGGCTGCTATATTACGTTATTTATACTTAATCACATTTTGCATTTAATCAAGTTTCGTTAAAATGCTTTGCAAATCGAATTGATTAAAAAATGTCGGCAGTGTATAAAAAAGAAGTATTAATTGTCGAATACTTTAAGTTCACTTGAATTGTTTAAAAATTTTTAATTCCTTATAGGTGTTGATAAAAAGTTTTAACTGTTTAAAAAAGAGTTTATATATATAGAGTAAACAAAATAACTCGTTGTCATCAAGATAAGTAAATACATAGAGGAAATGAAATTTCATTCTTCTCTTGCGTAATATATTATGTAAATTTCGAACTTTGCGCTTATAAAAGATTTTGGAATAATTACACGATAACTTTTATACGTACTCTTTGACAAAATAAACCTATCACATACACATTTGCTATAAGATCTTGACGTAATATATATACATACGAGGATAATGAAAAATGGAAAAATTAACTGAAAAGACGTAGAATCATGGCGGCCGCTCAACTTGCTAAGTTGCTTTTTCAAACAGTGCTACGATTTTCTGACCGAGAATTTATACGCTGAAGATTTCACCCTCGGAACGGTACTTTAATTCGCTATGGTGAGTTTTGGACAACTGTCATAATGTTTGCTTCCCTTCGAGAGCTTGATTCGTCATTTTGTGGTTATTTATGTGTACCGACATAACCTATTATCAACATATGAGCTTTTATTATTATATTTCACTTACTCGATTAGTTTTGTTTTGCGAATTAAACGATAGTGTATTCGATTACCGACAATTATTTATTCATTAATAAATATTATTTGGCTTTATGTTGTGAAGGTTTATTGTTTTGTAATGTACTTTTCTTTAAAATTAACTTAATTGGACTTTCAATTAAATGTAATTATAATGCTATGTAATATGCATTACACGTTAATAAATGTTTGAATTAACATTAAAATTTTGATTACGTGTTCATTTTTTAAAATTTTGTTTTACATTTTTTATCTTGGAATGGGTAGTATCACTTTTTTAATTCTATTTTACACCTTTACATAATTATCGCGTATTTCATGTAATTTAATCACGTTTTCTTGATTAAAATTTTTATTCTAACTATTCCATCAAAGATAGTTGTATACACACTAGTTAAATAATATCTTGCTTATAAATTTCATTTAATTGTATTTCTATATTTTAGAACTATTTTGGTGGATCAGATGATGATGCAGGAGGAGATGAAGATCAAGAATCTTCTCCTTTTCAAAATGTTGAGGCTCTAAAATGTTTTCGAGAACAATGGCAAAGAGAATTAAAAATTTCTCCAAAACATACACCTAAAGCTTTAACAAAAAAGCCTCAAGTTTTAGATGGCATTGCATCAGATGTCAAAAACAGAGAAGACCGATTAAAATCTGAAGAAATATCTGTAGAAGCAAAGGTATTAACCTTATTGTTGTTAACAATTAGAAACACATTGATCTAATAATAACATTGTTTTATTTTTGTAGGCAAAAAATTTATTTTTACAAGGAATAGAGAATGAACAGTCTGGAAAATTATATGAAGCAATTCAATTTTATCGACGAGCAGTACAATTAGTGCCAGATATAGAGTTTCGTCTTTATGAATCAACAAAACCAAAATTCCGTTCCGAAAAAATGGATATCATGGAGAAAAAAGATGTAGAAGAGAGAGAAAATGATGATCATGAAAATGATGTAGAAGACTCAGTTGACAACGATTGTGATATTTTAGGAAAACTTTCTAGGATAATTGAAAAGAATGGATACTTTTGCTTTCCTGAATGTGAGCAAAGTGTAAGTTCTTTAACAAATATAATTATGTACTATTGAAATTAATATGATAATTAATTAATCTAATTATTTTTAGACAACGCATATTTCAGCTCTACCTATGGAAATATTCTTTTACATTTTACGATGGGTAGTCTCTTCAGAATTAGACATCCGTAGCTTAGAAATGGTCTCGCGAGTCTGTCAAGGCTTCTACGTTTGTGCCAGAGATGCAGAGATTTGGAGGATGGCTTGTGTACGTGTTTGGGGTGTGAATTGTGGTAGATACGAGCCAAAGTATTTATCCTGGCGTGAAATGTATATGCAGCGTCCAAGACTACGTTATAATGGCTGTTATATTAGTAAGACAACCTATATACGACACGGGGAAAATAGTTTTCAAGATCAGTTTTATAAACCATGGCATCTAGTAGAATATTTCCGATATTTGAGGTATAACTTCACTTTATTTTCTTGCTGATGCAATGTACTGCTGATTAAAGTATTTATATCATAATATTTTAGATTTTTCCCCGAAGGGAAAGTTCTTATGCTAACATCTACTGATGATGCTCAATATTGTGTCAGTTCCCTGAAGAATCGTAATCCTCGAAATACTTCTGTATTGATTGGTCACTATCGGCTACGTGATAATTGCGTCAGCTTAATTCTAAAGCGTCAAGAGACTAAAACCAATACAACAAACTTTAGCAATCGTCGCCGAAAACGCAATGAACCAATTCATGATAGTGGCGAACAAACTTTCCACGTAGTAAGTTATTTAAAAATATTTAATTTATGAAGTTTTCTTTAATTAACTAATTATTACTTTTTCCCTTTATTATTCAGGAATTTGAAATTCAAAATTATCGTAAACGTCCAAATTCGCAACTTTCATGGTTATGCTATATAATTTACACGAAATATAAAAGTGGTGAAGAGATCCCAACAAAATTAAGCCTTGGGGGTAGATATCCTCCGTTTAGATTCAATCGAGTCAAAAGCTACACTCAAGAAAGTGAATTCCCTTTGCAATAAGTTTTATATTTCTACTAAGTATTTAAAGTTTGCGTAAAAAAATGTATATATGGTATAAAATTGATAGAATTGTAAATATTTTGATTGTTTTTGAAAGCTAGCTTTCGCGTTTACGAAAAATAAGATTGATATCAATCTAGTGCGTTAAGAAAAAAATCGAATATTTTATAAATTTTACTTGAATTGTAACAATGTTTAACAAGTTTTTATCATTGGACTGGTAAATATTTTGTTGCGGGGAATACAATTATAAAATATTTAAAATGAGGAGTATTATGCTCATCTAACAGTAATAATATGATTCAAGTGACTTTCAAGCTTAGAGCTATGAAACTATTATAAACTTCAATAAATATATTTTTGATGTATTTGCATTTTTTCTTCACTTCTGTCCCTATTTTAAAGTTCAGTTTTTGAATAATTTGTCATATTTAATATTGTTTTTAATTTGCCAAATATCTACGAGGAGCCTTGTCGAAATAAAGTAACACCTGTTTTGGAACGGCATATGATTTATTTATCTAGTAATCTTTTTTTATCTATATAATAATAATAATAATAATACAAATGGTTTCGAAGCTTCCATATTTTCGAAGTTATTCTCCATTTTTATGTGCTACAAGAAACTATTAAAATGCTGATCTACAACCACATTTTTTTTTTTCATTTCCTTTTTAACGTGTAGTTATATATTTCCTTTAAAATAATTTTAATTTTTTTTGCTGATACATACTAGAAGAAATATATATTTTCTTACTTTTGAGAATAAACTGTATATACATTTTTAACAATTTTATTTTAAACTTTGTATAATTTGTTTTTTTGTTTTTTTTTTCAACTAAAAAATTCAACGATTAACAAAACAATATTCCCGATGGTACTACATTTTAACAGCATATATTTGGCGTTCATAAACGCATCACAGCCTTTCATGACGATATCGATGATCTTGAATCTTTACACTTTCTTTATCCGTTTTTTGAAAACGGTGAACTTATTTATTTTTTGTTGTAAAAAAATAAAGAAATTAATGGCTAATAATTTACATGCACGCATAAGATAAGGAAATCTGTCTAAAAAAATTTGCTATCTATAATTTCGTGGAATTTTCAAATTGAATAGACTTTTTGAACTGGTTTACGCGTACTTTGTACATACAGTGATACTTCGTGCGTTTTAATAAATTCTCTATTTGTAATTCCATAAATATATGTCTACTCATAAGTTTTTTTTATAAAATAACACATGATCCGTTCCAATAAATTTACGGATGATGTTTTCTTGTTTTTTTTTATTTTTTATTGTTTTAGCGTATTAGCAATCGTTATAGATCAATAATTGACAATAAAATTAAACCATATTAACAACTTTGAATTTCCATACAAATAATCAGAGGAGTAAGTCAATAATAATAGCTGTAATTTTGAAATTTGACCTATTTTAATGTTATCAAATTGAAAGTGTATCCATTTTTTAAAAAGTTATAGTTTTTCATCAAAATTTTTTCAGTCGAATAAGCGGAATCTGAAAAATCGCGTTCTATCTTATCATGGTTTGGTTATGTACATAAAACAGATATTTTGTTTCAAAAATTTCGTTAACAATATGATTTCGCAAATTGAATTGACATTTGAAAAATTACCACGTGCCAATGGTGCAGCTTAACAAAAATGTATAAGGAATATTCGCAACGCTGAATATATCTTCATTAATCCTAGTCTTTCTCACAAACAAGTGCTCTTTTCTACACCGCGCGGATATCTATATTTATTTGAATAGGTTGATAGGAATCTATAAGGTATATAGGTATTTAAATTTAGAAAAAATGATTACAAGTAGGTATTATAGGGAAGCACGTGAGTGGTGGAAAAGTTTCTAAAAGATTCTAGGTATCGTTTGACGATCGTTTTACAATTTTATATAACGATCCCAATTTGCTTTAAAAGATTGAATAGATTATCAAAGGAATCATTCGTTATTTTGTTATGCAAGGCTGTACAATATTCTATAAAATAAATTTAATAGGGAACAAAATCCAACGTAGTTCAATTCAATGCTACATCATCAGCCGTAAAAGCTGTACTTTGTAATAGATTTCTTGAGTTCAATAAAATAGTCTTATTTACATTATGCAGGTACATTGTATTATAAACTTTACTATTTTAAACCCCGCGAAAACCTGGCGAGTCAATGAATATTTGATATTTTTTCAATCTGTATTCACTGTAGAGTATTACGCGAGCTAGAAAACTACGTTTCAAGCTCGCAGAACGGAAGAAAAAATACGCGATAGCCATCACAGCGTTTACGTGCAACTATTAGAAAAAGCGCAATATATGCAAGAAAGATGTTTTCTTCCCGTATTTCTTTTTTTTAAGCTTTTTTGTATATTTTTTTCGTCGATTTTTTCCTTCATAATTTTTATATCAAACATTGCGAATTTTTATAGAGAAGGTAATATTTTATTTTTTCGAGTAGCAGCGGATGGCAGCACGATATACAATGCGGCGAGGAATCACAGATGCTTGGAGGATAATGGATATTATCTACGTTATAAACAATTAATTTCGCAAAAACCATTCATACCTCAAAATGTTCGAACTTATTTGTATTTTAGTGTCGCAAGGCAATCCTTTTGTATAGTTGTTATATAACAAGTGCAGTGGGAATGCATCAATCTTTATATGCACGATAGAAATAATATTTCAACAAATAACCATTGAGGAGCTGTTGTGGATATTTTTAGTATAACACTAAAATACCAAAAAGCACAAACTTTTTCAGAACGTTATTTTAGTGTATTATTAAAATATTTTTGCGAGGCATATATACCAGTGCTCTTTCAAATATTAAAAACAAATACAAATACTCTCTTTGTCAACAGTTAAACTTGCGCATTTGGAGTGCAAATGTAAACAACCTTATCTAAATTTTTTCAAGATTAAGTAAGACCTGAAAATTTTGAGTGATTTTTACAAAATCAATCAGTATCTATATACTACACTTTTTTTGACAGAATGTTTCTGTTTCTATTATTAAAATTTTATTTCAATAAAATAACGATTAACACGCGTTATAACACTTCAAACTGATAATTTAAAAAGTAACTCATTCCAAAATGCATTGGATAATAGGCAATATTTGGTCTAATTTTTACAGTGTGACAGCATTAACAGAATTATTTTTTTGTTTCGTTTACTAAGAAACAATTGCGTATAGCTAACTTCTATAATTGGCATGCTTTCAATGATTATTCTCTTTCAACATGAATTTAAAAGTAAAACAATGGAATGTTCTAAATGTGATATTCCCAATTGAAATGACATTCGAGTAGAATTTAACTCATCAACAAACTTCACTATCGCGTAAATTCAGTAACTTGTAAAGGTTGCCTCGCAATCGACCGTCGTACGGGTCTTTTGTTTTTGTTATTGCTGTCGTCGAGAGCTATCCGTTCTTAAAGCTCGTCGTGCGTGATGTTGGAAGATACGGTGAGGCAGACTTCCGGTTCGATCATCCAAGCGAGATCTTGTAAAGTAGCCGCGTGCATAGAGCACACGGCTATCACGACCATCACGTGCATGATATTGTGAGAATTGAGCAAGAGATCCACTCTGCCCGGAAACCATTTCTCGGGGATGCGCATCGCGCCGATTGTGCCACCGATTACGGCTATCAGATCCTGAAAACCAAGCACACGAATCGATTAATCGCAACATGTAAATAAGATGACTCGTCTACTATTTGTCATGTTCTGTATTCTTGACGTTTACTGCTATTTTCTTCAGACCAAGAAAAGCTATTACAAATATTTGTGAGTGAATTTTGCCGAATGGGAAAAAAGTTTCCGCTATAAGAACAATTCTTCTTGATACATATATATATATATATATATGTAGAGTCGGTTGAGAATGGTTACAATTTATTGAAAATGATGTGCGGGATAATGAAATAAGTCAGCTAAGTGTGAAAGATTGCAATGAAACGAAAATGTTAATCAACGATAAAAATCACATAACGATCAATCGATACAAATCTATAGCTTAAAAACCTGTCGTGAAGAAACTATTCTGCGGCAAGGGACGCTTCATGTCATCGCATAGCCGGCTATCCAAGCGACGCGGCCCGATCCTGCCAATTAAGGGGTAAGAACCCCACTCTCGCTTTCCCCTGTAACGCCGTAGCTTTCCGTACAACGCTTTCTGTCGCTCAAGGACGAACCAACTTTCTCTCCCACACTATCACACAAACACATGGATTTGCAACTATTGTCTAATACAGTCCCAAACTTATTGAGCTACAAATTAGTTGACGACCTAAATTGGTTTGATTTCACGATGTTTTTATAATAAAATAATAATCACATTAATTTCTTGATTAATCGCAGTGAATAAGTTATAAGGTCCATTTTTCACGAAAAATTAGTTCTTTAATCTTTGAATAATCGTCAGCAATGCTACCAACTTCGTAGATATATCTGCATTTGCGGCCTTACACTTAAGTTTCAATGTTGCGCATATAGTAGTGAAGTGTAATTGAATTTAAGACACAATATTCTCTTATGCTTCAAACTATCATAAGGTAATTATTAAATCATCTTTATTAAAGCTGGTTTAAATAAATAAAGTTTGTTGATTGTCTTCAGTATTGCCAACGTTTATTCACAAGCGCGGAGCGAAAGCCGAAAATGTAATTCGACTGCTTTGTAAACACAACGATCCCGACTCGACATGTGCGTTGCAAGAAAAGAAACCGATTTCATTGTAAGAATTCGTTGTCAGTTAGATATTCGAATTCTTGGAAACTAAGTACGAGTAATAATGTTAATTGGATGAGAGACGCAATAAATATAGTTTCGTACAAATTGTCAGATTTGCTGTGAAAGTTTTGTCTACAATACAGGTTCGTGTGATGATTGATGTTTGATTTTTTATGTTTGTTGTTGACGCGCGTCATTTTGCTAACATTCGATTTAAGAAAATACGGAAAGAAACATCTTATGAGATATGCATTTTGTTATTGTACTAATACAATTGCGTAAAACAATCGATTATCTCAGTGATACACGTTTAAATTGCAAAAGTTATTGATTTATATTGATGATATTCTGATATTAATGAAATGTTTGTTATACCAATAATAACAATAGAATCAATTAATAGCTAAACAAAAGCTTATATCTTAGGTATAAATTTTTCTTTTATTTATGCAAAATATTTATTAAAAATTTTGTTATTTCAGAAAAATGGCAGTATATTGTCCTATATACGATCCTGTCCGTGGCTGGTACATAATTGTCTGTGGACCAAAAGGCTCCTATAAACAATATATTTCATCTCCTTTGTATTACTATCATACAATGGGAGTCAAGCCCCCAGTTGGTGCTAAATTTACCGAAGAAGACTATTTAGACCTTGACATTGAGTTAGAGGAGGCAGATCAAATGAGTTCTTCATCACCATCACTAGCTTCCTCTTCTCTACCTCCTCCCATACCTATTTCTTCTTCTACTGCTCCACTATTTACTAACTCTTTGCAGACTGCTGCAACATCTATGTCTCAATTCAATCATTTATCCAATTCGATCAATCCACCTTTATATTATGTGGACTCACACTTCAATTCTTCATCATCTGATTCTTCATCTCCAAAGATTATGTCTAACAGTAATGCTTCTAAGTTAAAGAAAACAATGATAATGAATAAAAAGTTGGAAATGTTGGAAACAGCACTTGAAGTGTACGGAGAAGAATTTAATTCACCACTGTTATCTACTAGTCCTTTTAGTAGCTCATTAACACATTCATCATCGATTAAGGGTAACACAATTAGCAGTAAATCTGCATTTAAACATTCTTTTGCATTCAAATATCTTTGGCCACTTCCATTAACATCTTCGAACTTATCTTATTTGCTTCACTTTCAGCTCCCCATTTTGCTGCTCCAGTAGCAACAAATTCTTTTAGTGTAAATGACTATCCAATGTCACCAGCAGATTACAATGATAGTACATCGTACAAAATTTTTGATGGAGCTCTTGATGAATCAGCAATGAAAGAAGATAATTTTGATATCTGATATGTTCATGAAGAATTTTATTTCCCTTATTAAACACGTAAGGATGGTGTTTTACAAACTTAAATCAGTTTTAGCAGTTTAAAAATATATTTATCATTCTCTTCCAGATAAGTTTTTATAAACAATTTTACAGTATTTTGACAATTTATAAAGAGTTTTGTTTCTTGGATTTAAAAGATATCCAGTGTTACTGTAAAAAAAGTGATCATAGGAATACCTCAATTTAAATGACCGAGGTAATTTAATGTATGAGTGAGGTAAGGAGTATTTTTATTTACTTTTTACTTGTTTTTAACTTATGAAATTTAAAAATTATTTATTTATCAATTTATAGATTGTATTTATCATAATATTACTATCTACCTCAAGAATGCAAAGACTATTTATTGGTTTAAATTTGAGAAGAGTAATATTTAGAATTATTCAATTTCGTGTTATCAATGGTAGAATAGATAATTGTTAAAATAATTATCACGTGTTCGTTTTTAATAATTTAATTTAAGAATAAATTATAGCAATGTTGCTGGTTAATACTTAGATAAGTTTAAAAGAACTGCTTCAACGTCTGTTAATGAATTCATTGTTATTTTTTATCATCTATGTTTAATGTAAATATTTAATATATTTTCATTGAAAGCATCAATTACACGAAAGATATGTTTTATGAATTATTTTTGTAATAGAACCAATAAAAATAGATGAAATAAAAACTCTAATTCATGTCAAAATGACTGTATTTTTGGAACGTACATGTATGAGTTGTTAATCAAGTAAAGATCGTGCAAATAAAGAGATGTATACTAATTCTGCGAGAGCATAAAATAACGGGCTGCACATACTTGAAGGACAACGTGCGTAAACGCTGCAGGATTACCACCACCAACTCCCAAGGATCGAAGGACAAGCACCAGCATGCGCATCATGAAAGGCGGAGAGAAACACAATCGTCTTTCCCAAGGTGACTTGGCGTTCATTGCCTGTGAAAATTGATCGATCTTCAATTCATTTTTCAACGCGAAAAATCACATTGCTACAAATTCCACTTTTACTTGTTCTGCAATGAATAATTTTAATATTTACATACTTTAAAAAGGCCCCAAATGCTGAGGAAACAGTATGTTATGATACACAAGTGCCAAAGTACATTTGGCAAACAATGTACAGACGCTGCAATGAGCGGCATTGCCCCTGTAATGAAAAAAAAATCTTGTACTAAATTGCAACAAATGGGATCTTTTATAATAAATGATATAATCATACTGATTTTATTCAATTAATCGACGATTATCGTTGTATTTTTGTGATGCCCATAGAAGCTGAACATCATTATTAAACAATATATAAATCATCGAAATGTTTTTGTAAAAGTAGAAAAAGTAAAATGCAGTAATATAAGCTTCAATACCAATCGGAAAACTTAATTATGAGACTGATATGAGTGTATTGATTTTCAATTAAAAATTTTAATTTATAATTAAGCAGATAGTTAAATTATTGTTGATTTTAAATAACCGATTAACGAATCACATATCGCTTAGTTCTTTTTTTTTAATTCACCGAACATATACAGATTAGCGTCGCCTGTAATAACATCCAAGAAAGTGACTAAATAACTTTGAAATTATTCCCCTATAATTTGGAATTTTATGGAATTTTAGTTCCGAGTTTAAGTAAAACTATCCTTCCAGAAGTGCACCATCTCATCGCGGAAGTTCGAAGCGATGCGACGAGATGGAAATATTTACCCTTGACATAATTTTGAACATCATCGTCAACGTCGTGGCAGTTTCCTTATAAACAAATGAGCCAATTTGAAACCCGTAAAACAATAAACAGTAAAGGGAACGAAAGTCAAAGGATCCAAAGATGGAGAATTTCGCTCGTTTAGAAGAATCTTTAACTTACTATCGAATTCGTCGTATAGAAAAGCATCCCGAGGCAGCGGGATCGCGCACGGAATTCACGAAGCAAGAGCCTGCGGAGCATTTTGTGTACAGAACTTTCGGTTTATCAACAAAATATCAGACGAGGAAAACTGCTTGTATTTGAACGTCTTCGTGAGCAGGATGCATGACGAGGTGAAGCGGCTTGTGATGATTTGGATTTACAGCGATGATTTCATAAGCGGCAGTGGTGATGATGAGTGCTACAGGCTAGATTAAATGATATTTGACAAAAGCGCTAAATATCATTAAATGCTAATAAACTTATTAGAAACGGAACATATATTAATATGGTAACTTATTTATATGTAACATATGATTTAGATCGTAAAACATCTTTATTTCAATGCTCCTATATTGGGTTATTTTTATTCACATTCTTAGCTAGAAGGTTTAATTTGGAGTGCATTAGCTTGGACTATTTATTAATAAATAAAACATGCAACAGTGAATTAAACATTTACATTTGGGATCGGGAAATCACCGAACAGTATGGTGTGGATTCGTGAACAATTCTACTTACGAATTTGATTATAATGAATCAGTCAAAAAAATATTCGAGTTAATGATGAACAAAGCGCAAAATAACGGTTTTACACAAATAACTTACGTCATTTCTACATCAAGTTATCAATCACATTCGAAACTATATGTCGTTACAGTAGATGATTTTGGCTAATGCATTATTAAAACAAAATTATTCACGCTAAATTAAATTCAATCCACACTGATTAGCATTCCGAGTCTTATAAGAGGAAACTAAACAATGAGACAATGTTAATCTATCGCAACGGAAGTGATATTTAACAGAAACCCATGATTTTCTAACTGCAATAATGACAACTAAATAACAAAAAACGAAGCCAAGTCGCGTAACTTCCAAAGTAGTCAAATCACAGTGATGTTGGTCGATCAAGTATAAACATCATCCGCAGATGATTCAGTAGCTCGTCGATTACGCCGACTGGATTTCATAACACTCATCTTTGAATGCCTATTCATCGTCAAAGTACAAAGTGGCGAGCATGAAAAAGCACGATGTTGCTCGCGATTTTTAACGTTATTTTGCTGATTCTCTCTTTTGGAAATCTCGTAGTTTTTGCGTGTGTCGGTGAGCCAATCGCAGATACGTTGACTGGCAAAGTGCACGGCTCTAAAGCACAGGATTCCGAGGGTGATGAGTATTGCTCGTTCAAGGGCATCCCTTACGCCAAGCCACCTGTAGGAGACCTTCGATTCAGAGTAAGTTTTCTTTTGTTTAATCCCATATGATGTGAATGCTCGCGACTGATCGGCAAACCATTGCGCGACGACAAGGAACCCCAGCCGGCGGAGCCATGGACGGAAGTACGAGAAGCGATGGTGTTCGGAGAGAACTGCCTTCAATACGATTTGCTCAGCCACCGAATAAAGGGTATCGAAGATTGCCTCCACCTGAACGTCTACACAAAGAGTTTGCAACAGGGAGCTCGACGTCCGGTTATGGTTTGGATTCATGGAGGCGCCTTCGTATGCGGTTCTGGCGATGACGATATATACGGACCTGAAAATTTCATGCGAAAGGACATCGTATTGGTCACCCTCAATTATCGACTTGGAGTTTTCGGTACGTTGAAAATTATATCTTCTCGATTCCTACTTAGGAGCGCTAATATATTTTTCTTGGCAGGATTTTTAAATTACGACGATGAGTCGGCATCAGGCAATCAAGGTTTGAAGGATCAAGTGCTGGCTTTGCAATGGGTTCGCGATAACATTGCTCATTTTGGCGGGGATCCTAATAGCGTGACGATATTTGGCGAAAGTGCAGGCAGTGCATCTGTGCATTATCTTGCTATTTCTCCACTAGCAAGGGGTAAACGACGAGCGTTCGAATAATAGAGTGTACAGATGAATTGATATTTTTATTATTGTTTCTAGGTTTATTCCACAGAGTTATTTGTCAAAGTGGAATGGTACAAAATCCATGGTCCTTTCTTTCGAATCCAAAGAAAATGGCGTTACGGTTGACGAATAATTTTAATTATACTGGAAAAGACCCAAAACAAGCAGTCCAGTTTTTGAGGACAGTCGATGCTTTGAAATTAGCTGAAGCCCAAGAAAATTTACTGACACCCGAGGTTCGTCGATTAGATTGTTCATTTGTTTGCGATTAACTATAGTGAAAAAATTTTTTAGGAAAAACTTCAAGCGATATTCCCGTTTGTACCGACTGTCGATTTGAAATCTAAAAAACCTTTTATGCCAGTTCATCCGGAAATATTAGCCGCTGAAGGCATTCAAGTGCCTTCGATTATTGGTCACAACAGTCGAGAAGGCATACTGTTCTATCGAAGTAAAGGGATATTTTCTACTGCTAAAATAAAGAAAAAGTTTGAATTATTTATTGTAGTCGCAGAGCATCACGAAGGAACTTATTATTACAGATATAACGAAGAATTACGAGAAATTCAACAAGGAATATCATCAAATCGTTCATCCAGAAGTAAAGAACATTTTGAAAAACTATGGGCTGACTCTCGAAGACATAAAACACGTTTACTTCGATAACGACTCAGTAACGAAGGAAAATATGGATAACTTGGTTGATTTATTCGGAGATTTATACTTCGTCGAGGGCATTAACAGAGCTCTGAAGATTCAAATTGAAAGAAGCTCGGCACCGACTTACTTTTACCAGTTTACTTACGACAAAACACTGTCGTTTATAAAAATGTGGGTCCATACGCGAATGAGCGGTAAGATAATTCAGCTTTTCTTTCGAATAAACTAATAAGCGACTATCATTGCATTGAAAGTACATTCTCCACAGGTGCATCTCACGCTGACGAGCTATTTTTCTTGTTCAGACCGCACTATTTAGACAGTAAAAATCCATACCCGAAAAAAGATTCAGACAAGTACAGGATCACTCAACAAATGATTGAGTTATGGACAAACTTCGCGGCAACAGGGTTCGTTGTAAATATTCATTAATTTATTTGAAATGCAGATACAATGATCTTTCTGTTTTCCAGTTTACCAACACCGAAGTTAACAGAAGTAGTTCCTATACTGTGGCAGCCTATCCACAATGGAACAGTCCTTCGCTATTTGAATATATGCGAAGATTTGTGCATGGAAGCTACATTGAGCTTGGAGCAGAAGTATTATGTAAAATTGTTACCTGCCGAACCGAGTAGCGGGAGAATTAATTACAACTCCTTGAGTTTGACCTCTTTTATTTTCGTTATTGTCATGTTTAATCAACTAATTGACGGTTTTTGAATTGATTGTCCTACCTTTCTGGCGAAATTTGTTACGTTCTTAGTAGTTATAATAATAATTTATGCAATCATAATTTTTGACTGTAACAGTAATAACAGGTTTTTTTCATATTGACTTAGAAAATAAAATGAAATAAATGTTTCAAATAAATCACTCTATACCTGTCTAAAACCATTATTCAGAAATGTATCAAATATGATCAACTGAATATAGTGAAATAAAAACAGAAAGAATTACAGAAATATTCGTATATGTTAATTGGATACTAAGAATCAATTATAATTGATTGTTTCGTATGTGCTATAATTACGCTTTTGTAAAATATAGAGAATATGAAACGTGCTTTTAGTGGAAATAAATTTTACTGTTACAATTTTTTTGTCTGTCAAATAACCTATGGAAAACATTTATTAGCATCCATGACAATAGTGAAAGTCAAGAATTAGTTGTAACGTATGTTACAAACAAAATGCCTTTCTCAAACTGTAATCAGAATGCATTACTCGTACAAACGTATATGTAATGGAGACTATGTTAGTAAAATATTATCCGATTAAGCGTTCTATTTACTTAAGTAAATGACAAAATGTTTGAGAACGAGGATCGGGGTGAAATTGTGTGGCATTACACGTGAAAAAAAGGTGACGAAAGTAATGTGTTGATTTAACATGTCACTATAATACCACTACAGTGACAATCAAAGAAGTGACTAAACATGAAAAACCGTCAGTAGTTTCCGGTCGAAGAACAAATATCATGCAAAATAATTTGTCAGCTCCGAAACTGGCGACAAGATTACGTATAGGATACTCCAAACTTTCCGCTTTTTCATCTCGAAAGTAGTTCCTACTGAAGAGTACCGCGCATGAGATGGAAAAACTATTAACTTACTGTTTAACATTTTTTAGTATTGCTTTACACAATTCTTCGGTATTCGCGTGCTCCGGTAAACCAATCGTATCTACATTGTCGGGTAAAGTTCAAGGAGCAAGACAAAAAGGATTCGAAGGCAACGAATTTTGTTCATTCAAGGGCATTCCTTACGCCAAGCCACCAGTTGCGGAATTACGATTCAGTGTAAGACATTTCAGAGCAACTTTGAAACTTTATAACTGTTAAAATTATTAATAATTAATGAAAGAAAATGGACATTTAAACAATGTGATTATTTATATAAAGGATCCTGAGCCAGTAGAACCATGGATGAACGTTCGAGAAGCGACGACCCATGGACCAAATTGCCCACAATACAATACCATACCTCATCACGTATCCACAATAGAGGATTGTCTTTATTTGAACGTCTATACAAAAAATACAGAACCGAGAGTATTAAAGCCAGTGATGGTTTGGATCCATGGTGGTAGTTTTGCTACTGGACATGGTGACGATTCGCTTTATGGTCCTGACTACTTTATGCGCAAGGATATTGTTTTGGTGACTTTCAACTATAGACTCGGCGTTCTTGGTAAATAATTTCCTTGTAAAATTATATTTTTAAGTGAAACAATTGCATTTTCTTTTCCGGTTTTTCTTAGGATTTCTCAATTTAAACGACGAAGGAGCAACAGGCAATCAGGGTTTGAAAGACCAGATAATGGCAATGCAATGGGTCCGCGATAATATTGTTAGTTTTGGCGGTGATCCTTACAGCGTGACGATTTTCGGTCAAAGTACGGGTGCCGCATCTGTACACTATCATACTATTTCTCCGCTATCAAAAGGTACAAACCTTCTGGCATTAAACTTTTTTTATTGTCTGAATAAGGTACTAACATTGATAATTACAAAAGGATTGTTCCACAAAGCTATTTCTCAAAGTGGAGTTGCTCTCAATCCATGGGCCTTCCAATCGAATCCCGAGAAACGAGCATATCAGTTATGCCAACTTTTAGGACACCGGGTAAAAGATTCTAAATCAGCGATTAGATTTTTGAAATCAGTTGATACACCGCGATTGATTAGAGCTCAAGAAAAACTTCTTACGAAAGAGGTAAATTGACGGTTATTAATATTTTTGCACACTTTTGAAGATAAACAATTGCTAAAAAGTTGAAGATAAATATTGACAGTATTTTATTTAGGAAATTATTCAAGCTCAATTATCATTTGGACCTAGTATCGATTCCAAATTAAAAATGCCATTTATGCCAACGCATCCAGAAGTAGCTGCGGCAACAGGAGTTCAAGTACCTATGATCATTGGTCACAACAGCCGAGAAGGAATTTTTTTCTACCGAAGTAAATAATGTACAATATTTCAGATATAAGAAAGTACTTTAAAAATACTTTGAGTAAATTATGTCACAGATGCAGCAAACTCCTACGAGAGGTTTAACAGGGAATTTAGTAAACTTTTACATCCTGATGTGAGAGACATGGTTAGCAGGTACGGTTTAACTACGGAAAATTTGAAACATATCTACTTCAAGAATAGTCCAATAACGAGATCGAATGTTGATAAATTGGTCGATTTACTTGGAGATTTATATTTCGTCGAAGGTATACATAGGGTTGTGAAGACACAAGCTGCAACAAGCTTGACACCGACATATTTCTATGAATTTACTTACGACAAGAAACAGTCGTTTATGAAAATTTATTTCCACACTCATATGAGCGGTAATTATTCTTTACCTGTGTCCTCAGTTCTTTGGTTATGATAATGAAATGCTTTAGAACAATAATGTTTATTTTATTAATTTTTTTATTTTTTGCAGGCGCTTGTCACGCAGATGAGTTATCTTTTTTGTTTAAAGCTCATCATTTTGACGTGATAAGTAAGGAAAAGGATACAGACAAAAAGCGAATTACTAAACAAATGATTGATTTGTGGGTCAATTTTGCTATGACAGGGTATGTTAGAAGTACTTGTATACTTGTTGTATACTTCTATAATTTTATCTGTGTAGTAATATGTAGTACAAATCAATTTTGTTTGTGGATTCTTTCGTATTGCAGAACTCCAACACCCAGAGTAACAGATTTAATACCCCTTTATTGGGAGCCTATCGGTGACGGAAAGATACTTCGGTATTTAAATATTTGCGAAGACTTACGAATGGGAACAATGTCAAGCTTGGAGCAAAAATATAATGCTTACATGTACTTTATAAGTAAGTAAAGAGAAGACAATAATTCCTTTTTATCGTGAAAATAAATAATAGTTTGTTTTGAATTTAGTGTAAAATTATTACATCTGTCAGATTGTTATTTAAATTAAAAACTCTTTTGTAATAAATATCAATACAATATAATAAATTTGATAATGAATAATATAAACTACTATCGTAGATTGATGTCAAAAGTTTTTAAGGTCTTTCCAACTGCCAGTGCTTTATAGAAAACATAATTTATTATACGTTGTAAATTTAAATCTTATACGATAATGAAATCTACATAAATAGTAGATCAGAATTCCATTTTTCTATGGAATAGAGGAAAGAAAGAGAATCATATGCATATATAATCACAAAATAAATGCTAGATTAGCTATTGAAAAATAAGCGCATGTAATTCTTATTGTTGTTATTTTTATCGTTATTTCAAGAACTTCATTTGTAATGCTGCAAAAAATTTTAATTTTAATCATTGTACTATATTAAATTTGGCTCAACGGTATAAAAATAGGATAAGTAAATAGTGAAGAACGATATATTATCTTAATAAATCTTAATATTGGAAATTTTAGTGTATAAAAAATGCTTTATCAAACTCTTGCTTTGCCCCCACTTTTTTTAATAAAAATAAAAACAACTATCTATCCAAATATTGTCGCGTGATTTACAGCTAAATGAAAATTGTTCGTGTTAATATTTTTGATGAAACAAGATTCTTGATCTTTACTAAAGAATCCAATGGCTCTAATGGTTGTGATTAGTGAGTTAAGTATGATCAGCAACGATGACCATTACACCAGCTCGAATCTTCAAAATTATGTAATGTATTGATTTACATTTCAAGTCTTTAATATACAATATTTTTATAAAAAATGTACGTATTAGTAAAATATATTCGATCAAATTTATGATTAAGTGAATATCCAATAAGGAACTAATATTATAAAATAAAAAATGTTAACAGTTAAGATTTGATGTTATTTTTTTAATTCAAAATATTTCATTATTATAAAGCAATCAATAATGCGAGTTGATAAGAACCGATGCCATCAATAATTTAAAACACGATTCTTGTAACGTAGAAGTTATACAGAGGTAAGCATTTACGATAAAATCACGAGAAATATTTCTTTTATTCGTATTTTACTTTTACATAAAAATTAAATGCATTTGCTATATGAAAAAAATTTTCATATTGTTAGAGACAAATGGAAGCAATACCTTCAGTGAATTTTATTATAAAACTTTATAATTGCAAATGAAAAATAATACTATTGAGCTTATTTGTAAATAGTCATTCCGATTATTCTATTCAAAGAAGTAATTTACACCTACAAGGATATTTTTTCATCGTTTACGTGTGTAAGAGATTGTAGTGTTACAGTTATATACACCTCATTCATATATCTACCCTAATGAAGAAATTCACATAAATAGAAAGTACAATACAATCTATAATACAATTCACATTACATCACTTCGTGTAATTATATTTGCAAGAAGTTATTCCACGATTTGAATAAATTTATTGAAACTGTAATTGTTATGAATTATATACTCATTTATTTATTAAATTTAGATAAAATTAAAGAACAGTTTAACTAAATTGATTAATTTGTATACGTATTATGAATATTATTATCTGGGATACCTCCTACTGTTCAGTTACCAAAATCGCGATAACAGTTATGTGCAGTAAATTTACCGACTTTTTAAAATTTTGCTTCTTTCGAGTGTATCAATTTTTATCAAAGATGAATAACACGAAAATGGACAGCGTGCAAATATTGTCTAAATCTTATAATTAAATTAAAAAAAACTCAAAATACGGAACTCTGACGAGTCAAAGATAATGCTTTTATAGTCCACTAAAAACAGTTTACTGTGGCGTCTAAATAATAATGTAAAAATGCCAATCATGAAGGAAATACCGAGGATAAAAAAAAATACCCGAAAAAAATTTCCGTGCAACTCCGAAATGGCTGACAATGGTGTCCTTCACGCTCGATCAGCCGCTTACTCTGCCCATTACATTTGATGCGAGGAGTTCACAAATCCGCTGGCATCGCACTGTCAGTCAGCAAAGAACAGTTGCGTCGGCAGCATCATGAGCGAATGCGTAATCATAGACACTCTAGCTGGTAAAGTGCGAGGAGCGAAGCAACGCAATTTTGAAGATGACGAGTTTTACGCGTTCAGAGGTATCCCTTATGCTAAACCACCTGTCGGAGAACTACGATTTCAAGTGAGTGTTTCGATTTATTTTTGGTTAACTCTTTTGCGGATGTGATTTCATATCGAACTCTTTGAGTTTTATTAAACGTCGAAAATGATAAAAAAAATGAAAAAAATTTTTGTTTCGTATCGAGGATCGAATCTTTATTTCAGATGAACTTATTTTCAATTATATAACTAAAAATATTATACATTTCTATTTTTAACAAATAAAGATTACTTGCTACATTATTAAGTAATGACGGTATCTGCGGTCATTTGGCTTGAATATCTCATCACAGCCATCAAGGTCACTATAATGCCAACTCAATGCTAACCGGTATTAACAGTTTAGGTGCTTATAAGCTACATATGAGTTTGTAACTTTGTTATAATTTTTTATTCTCTGAACTAATTATCGACCTTTATTAAATTTTAACGGTCGACTATTTTTGTCGTAATTATAAGCATTCTAGTCTTTGATATCATAGATAAGATATTAAAAACATTCATTGATTTATTTTGTGAAATATAAATTTTACAAATATTTAATCGGATAATCATCTAATATGTTTCATAATAACTAATGTCAGAAAATTTTTTAGCGAATGTTTGTGTTTAAGTCAATGCCTGAGAGACAGACAGTGAATAAAAATTTGTTAATATTTTAAGGAACCACAGCCAGTCGAACCATGGACAGGCATAAGAGAAGCAACGAGTCACGGACCGAATTGCGCTCAGCTAGATTTTATAGTATTCGAGGTCGCAGGCAGCGACGACTGTCTCTATTTGAATGTGTACACGAGAAATATCGAGGCGGGTGCAAGAAGACCGGTAATGGTTTGGATACACGGAGGAGGTTTCATACTTGGCCATGGCGACGATTCATTTTACGGTCCAGATTTCTTCATGCGCAAAGACGTTGTTTTAGTCACTATCAATTATCGACTTGGAGTGCTTGGTAATTGCTTTCTCAACTTAGTTATGAGTACTCATTTTCATTCATCAGTAGCAATTAGATTTATTTTGAAGGAATGAGTTTTTAAATAAGTCATCATTCATTGGTACAAGCTCAACTTTTTGTGATTTAAGTAAAAAGCATACATTGATAACGATAACTTCGTATCTGTTTGCTTTCATTGACCGATTTCACCAACTTTTTATATAACGCGAGTCTTTTGATTACGTAGGTTTTTTAAACTTGGATGACGAAGAGGCATCTGGAAACCAAGGTCTCAAGGATCAAGTGATGGCTTTAAAATGGGTTCGAGATAACATTGTTAACTTTGGTGGTGATTCCGAAAATGTGACGATCTTCGGCGAAAGTGCTGGTGGTGCCTCTGTGCATTATTTGTGTATTTCTTCACTTGCTAAAGGTAAAAGTATTATTTAAGATCACTAAAACTTTTCGAAATCATAAAATCATTTTTACCGTTATTCCTAGGATTATTTCACAAGGCAATTGCTCAAAGCGGAGTAGCACTCAATCCGTGGGCATTTCAATCAAATGCTACAGAAAAAGCATATAAATATTGTGAATTCTTAGGACACAAGGAAAAAGATCCAAAATCGGCAATTACATTTCTCAGGACAGTCGATATTCAAAAATTAATCGAAGCTCAAGAAAACCTACCAACTAAAGAGGTATTCCAGTTTTCATTTTTATTCTTTAGATATCGATATACTACTTTGAGAATGAATTAATATACCATTTTTTATTGTAGGAAAAAATTCAGTTTAAGTTTTCGTTTGGCCCAAGTATTGATTCTAAATCAAAAAATCCCTTCATGCCTGTTCATCCAGAAGAAGCGGCTAAACAGGGTATTGAAGTACCATTAATCATTGGACACAATAGCAGAGAAGGTCTTATTTTTTTACGAGGTATTTAAGAAATTACTATTCGCAGTAAATATGTTTTTAACAAAAAAAAATCTTACTTTGCAGACGCGTTTATTATTATTTTATTGGCAAAAGATGTATGAGGCGTACGTATTTGAGCAAAGAAAATTTATCATACGAAAAGACGATGTAGTTTTGTATTCCACAGAGTTTTCGTTAGTATTGCGTTGAATGGATAGAGAAAACGTGCAAAAAGTCAGTAAAATGCACAATAGCCTTAATCACCGAGTGCACAATCGTAATAGAATTACGAAAGTCAAAAGTATGAGAAACCTATAGACTTAGACATGCACGCGTCTGCAAAATTTACATAATTGCCATTCCACAATCTCCATAAAATTACACAATCACCGTTGGCAGTTAGCTTTTGCCAATTTATAGTTTCTCATGGCACTTAAAAACGTTTGGCGTTAGTTTGAAGACCAAAGACTTTGTATATGAACTGAAATAAGAAACTTTCGGATAAAATGCTTGAAAACATAGTTAGGCAATTTTCGTAAATATCAATTACCTATTGTACGATCCATGATAACTTTGAATAACATTTTACAGAAATTGGAAAAGCTCACAAAAGATTCAATACGGAATTGGAGAAGCTCGTGAATTCAAGAGCTTGGGATGTAATGAAGAACGTATATAATTTAACTCCTGAACAAGTGAAGCACTTGTATTTACAGGATGAAGAAATTACTGACCAGAATGTGGAAAAATTAATTGATTTGCTTGGAGATATTAATTTTAATGAGGGAATTCATCGAGTTGTTAAAACGCAAATTGAAAAAAGTTCTGCGCCAACGTACTTTTATCAATTTACTTACGATAAGGATCCATCGTTAGTGAAACTTATGTTGAAGATTAAGATATCCGGTAAGGACAAAATACGTTTAAAAAGACAATTAAAAAAACATTGCTAAAAATATACGTTAAACTGTCAGGTGCATCACACGCGGATGAAGTACTATATTTATTCCCACTACAATCTTTCAATACACTAAGAAAACAATACGGAATTCCTAAAAAAAGTTGGTACCAAATGGCTAAATGGTTTGTTATGACGCTTCCACTTATATATTTAGTCAAGGTAATCACGTATTGAAGTTATAAAGACGTATACATTGCCTCTATGTAATCTAAGTAAACATTTGTTCTCAGTATGGTAACCACGGATTCCCCAAAAGAGGATCAGATAAGTATCGTATCATGGAACATATGATCGAAATGTGGACCAATTTTGCGATAACAGGGTATGTTTATATCTATATTTACTCATTTCATTACATATTTGAATTAAGAAACACAAGTGTTTTTACAAAATATATTTGTTTTCTCATTCTTAATGAATTACTAATATCCGAGTAGTTTCTTTTGTTGTAATAAATGCACTATACTTTGAGTAATATTACAAAAGCTTCCGATAACTTTAATTGAGTTTTTAAAATAAGAACTATTTTCAAAACGAAAAGCTTCCACTTGTACTTTCTTAATTATGAATATCGAGGAAGAATAAGGACTCTACGCCATTTAATTTGTATAGAAAGCCGACAATTCAAACATCAGAGCTTATCCCACACGACTGGCAACCTGTGGATAACAGTAAGAATCTTTGTGGGCTAAATATTTCTGAGAATCTACGCATCGATGTTACAGAAAATTTAGAACAGAAGTATATCTCATCGGACAATCTCAAAAATTAATCTACAAAAAATCTATTGTTTCGTGTTAATTGTTTCTGTTCAATATTAGTATAAAAGTTTTTATATTATTTAAATGCTACTGTTTCGTATATACTTTAATATGACAAGACTTTCATATTTTAAAAAAATAAATATATATCTAGTTGTTACATAAAATCTAAATATTCTTAAGAAATATCTGCAGATATGAGACTTTTAGTGAAAAATTTTGTGAAATCACGATTATTGTATGTACTCTTTCGTACTAAACCAAAAGGAAGAACATTCATTTGATATTTTATTAGATGTGTAATTTTTTTATAATACTACGTATTAGGACTTATATTTTTTCTGACTACGTAAACTATTAATGAAACGCATGAAGTCTCACTAGGGGTTTCCTTTATTCATTTACACGCGTGAAAGTTAAACTTATTAAAAAATCATTGTAAATTATATATCGTTTCGTGTATGTAATTAAGACGGGAAAAGACATGGATACGTAACTCAGACTAATAAAATTATTAGTAAAAAATTTCAATTATTATTTCATTTGTTACTCTACAATCCTAAGGGAAGTTATTAAATCTCATTTGTAATTATGTAATCCTAGTTGTCATTAGCAAAAAAAAGGTCTAAGAATCAGCAGCAAATGAAGATAAGCTAAATTAGCAAATCAAAACAAAGCTCACACAGCGAATGTATCTATATACACAGATATGAAAATCGAAAAGGACGTGGGTATTGTATATAGTACAGTCAACCTTTTCGCGACTATAGTATATTTGTACCTGCCGGTATTGACAGTCGACTAACGTCCTCGCAAGCGGCAATAACATGTTGCACTCACAACGGATTGTTGAGACAAAAGCTGGCAACCTGCGAGGTACCAGGGAGGTCAATTTCGAAGACGAACATTATTTTGCGTTTAGAGGCATTCCTTATGCGAAACCACCTGTTGGAACACTACGTTTCCGGGTTAGTTGTTAACTACAAGTATTTACCAAAAATCTTGATTTTTTTAAATTGCGATATCAAACACGGTAAATGCTGATATGAGCATTTGTTTATTTGTTTGAGGGTGACTTGATAGTTTATTTTGTAATCGATGTGAGTAATTTTTCTTTTTCATAACGAACCGTGAATAAATATTTTTTCTGTCAAACATTTCCAAGGTAGCTGCATTAGTGTTTCAATTTACGTATCAATTTTTCACGTGGATTTCAATATTTTAATTGCATAATTTTCATTTTTCTAGAATAAATATTTAATAATATTTGAAAATCTGATAAATCGTTGAGTGTATCGATCCTGTAGAGCATTAAGTAAATATTGTGATCCACAAATGAATGCGACAGTTATTAACTGCGTCATTACGTCATTAATACGTTTATTATGTATAACTGATTAGCTCTGCTTAATTAAAAGTGCGTTTATCTCTTAAAATATTATTTAGTTTAATATTAAAGTTCAAAACGCCAAGTTTTCAATTTTCAGCAATTCATGTTTTATGTAGTGTATTTTGCTTCGACGGTTCTCTGCAATAATAGCCACTTTAATAGAAAAAATGTTTTTTTTTTCATAGTAGTCCATGGTCTTATGATTTTATCATTCATGAATTGCCGATAAGTTATATAAATATTACCGTTGGTATTTTCTTAAAAGGATCCGGAGGTTCTGCCACGTTGGGGAGGTCTTAGAAACGCAACGTTTCACAGACCAAATGCGCCGCAGATAGACCGACTCACTGGCGATGTTATTGGCTCTGAAGACTGCCTTCATTTAAATATTTATTCGAAAGGTATAAAAATTGCATGTGGGCTACCAGTTATGGTTTGGATTCATGGTGGTAATTTCGCATCTGGCAGTGGCGATGATTCATTTTATGGGCCGGATTACTTCATGCGCAGAAACGTCTGTTTGGTAACCATCAATTACAGATTAGGAGCCCTCGGTATATATTCAATATGGAATTTAAGAATTAAAATAACGTTTTCTTTGTCCAACTGTATTTCATCGATTCGAAACAATCGTTTTGTCCACAGGCTTTTTAACATTTGATGACACGTATTCACCGGGAAATCAAGGTCTGAAGGATCAAGTGATGGCTTTGAAATGGATTCAAAATCATATCATTAATTTCTCTGGCGATCCCACCAACGTGACAATTTTTGGCTCGGACGCTGGTGCTGCATGTGTACATTTACTATGCCTCTCTCCATTAGCAAAAGGTACACAATTACAATTGAATTTAAAGCTTAATTAATTATAACTTCCAAGCGTGCAGCGAGTAAAAATATTGTTTAACTACAGGTTTATTCCACAGAGCGATTATTCAGAGCGGGGTGTCATTGAATCCATGGGTAATCCATCGAAATCCTGGTAAAAGAGCATTTGAATTGTGTGAGAAATTAGGTTGCAAATCAAAAGACCCTGCAACGGCAGTTCAATTCTTGAGAAAAGTAAATGTCAGACAATTAGTCAAGGCGCAAAATCAACTACTTAGCAAAGACGTATGTCACATATTTATAAAATAACGTTTAAAAGTCATTAACGAGCATATGGTTTTAAATGGAATTTATTACTGTTGTCTTTTTACAGGAAAAAATTCAATACTCCACCATTTTTGGCCCATGTATCGATAGAAAATCTGATGCCCCATTTATGCCTATGAATCCAGATGAATTGGCTAGGCGCGGCATAGATATGCCACTGATTATTGGTTACAACGACCGCGAGGGCATTGTTGCATTACGAGGTGCATGATAATTACGTAGAAACTATTTTAGGATTGAAATATCCTTAACAAGTTTGAAATATCACTGACATCCATGTTCCCATAAAGATCTTAAATTCTTGTTTTATAATAACAGATGACGTATGTTTACAGATTTAGGTAGAGAACACTCTAGATTCAATACGGATACTTTGAAAGTTTTGCATCCAAATACCATAAATACGATGCACCAATCGTACAGCCTAGACCTTGAAAAAGTAAAAAAGATATACTATACAAATAATTCAATAACCCACGATAATCTCGAAAGTTTGGTCGATATGCTTGGAGAGCTATATTTCATTGAGGGCATTCATCGAGTCATCAGAGCACAAGTTGTAAACGATTATGCAGAAAAGACGTACTTTTATAAGTTCATATATGACAGGCAAACGTCACTGTTTAAAATGTCGTCGGGAAGGAATATGAGAGGTAAAGATAGTTTCTCATGAATGGTTATTGAAATGTTCACAAGCCATTGAATAATTGAGCTTCAATATCGTTTTCGAAAAACATTGCAGGGGCTTGTCACGGAGACGAGTTGCTTTACTTATTCTCACTGGGATCTTTCAGTACTATGAGGAAACAGTACTGTATTCCAAGAAAAAGTTGGTACCAAGTGGCGAAATGGTGCGTCTTGATACTTCCATTGATGTGCTTGGTAAAGGTAGGTCATACAAATTTCAATCAGTAGTTAATGGAGTAAATGTTCATGGATTTCGCATTGATAAACAACGGACATGCAAAGTTTAACGAAAATACTTGTGTTCATTTTAGCTTGGCCGCTTCGGTTTTCCACCACGAAGATCGCAAAGATATCGCATTACTAAACGGATGATCGATATGTGGGTGAATTTTGCGATCACGGAGTACGTTGGAATCAATTTTAACATAAATAGACGTGCATAATAGAAGCGAGAAATGAAACGTTTCGCTATATATAAATCATTGTACATTTTCTCAATCGGTATTCATTTGCAGCAACCCAATACCGAAACGGACAACATTACTTCCGATGAAGTGGACTCCTGTTGAAGATATTTGTGTTTTCAATTGCATGAAGATTTCCGAAGATCTGGAGATGGAAGGTGAAGAGAACTTGGAACTCAAGTATACTGAAGCCCAAGATCATCAAACAATGATAGCTGAGTCAGCGGTATAGAGGCTGTTATGCAGAGACTGTTTTGTATTTTTATATTTTTATAATTTTATAATATTCAAATACCAAATTTTATTACTAGATATTTCTACATTTTTATTGATCGACAGCAGTTACAAAAGATTTTGTTTTAATTTTGATGCATGTAAGAATTTGATGTAAAAAATAAATAACTGTCGTTGGAGATATTTCCAATATTTATTTCTTATTTTATCCAAATTAAGAAAATAATTTACATTCTATTTAAAAAAAATAGTACAGGGTTTAGCCTGTGTCAATTGGAATTGAAGTCTTTCAATCCCTCCCTCGTACTCTCTCTTATACATGCACTACTAGCTTATATATGTAGCCAGCCACACGCGCCTGGAAAACTTCTCAACCACAGAGACTATGTGATTAACTCAGGACGATAAGGAAAAGAGAGAAAGTTATAAAACTGTAATCTCTATTACCTTTCTCTGTTTTTTCCCTTCGTCCTCGTGTTTTTTTATGAGAAATTCCATTTCATCGAATGATAGATAATAGTTATGACTCTGTCATATTCTTTACCAAGTTTCTTATAGGCAACATAATTTCCACAGAAATGAGAAAACACTGTCTACGCAAATCAAATAGTTCGGTATTGAGTACACTTCGTCCGTTTCATGCATTGACACGAATAAATTCAGTATTTTAGATGATTTTTTACTTTTTTCTTGTTAATTAATAATTACTTTTTAGAGCGTTTACAATGACAAAGTCGAAACAACTTTTGTCTATTAATTAACTGCATAAATAAATATATGCAGAATATGTTATAATCATGAAAATGACGTCGCCCATAAGCAATACATTACCACCACGTTTACGCACATTGAAACACGTAAAATCTGTGACAACGTATTTATTATGGCTGAAGTTATTTTTTACACGCTCGTGTAGTTTTCAACACATCTATCTACCTAAAATCTCAAACTCCAGCATGCATTCGCCTGTGCCATGGCAATACATTGCGACGCACATAGTTATATATAAGTTATCAATAGTAGGGCACATCGGTGAAACCCGCGAGATGCACGAAGAGACATCTTTCGGAAAAGAATAGACGGAAAACCTGGAAAAATTGGCAATTAGTGTACAGGCCGGACGCGAACGAGATAATCGTTGAAGCCACGTCCTGCTAGGGCGCGTCACTCGAAAATTCGGTACTCCCCGCCAATAGAAAGCGTTCGGCCCGGCTCTAACGGAACGATGGGACTTGGGGGAGAAGGAAGGTATCCTGGGAGCGAAACCCCGCGAGCCCCGCCCATGCTACTCGCGCGCCGGACCCCTGCGAAAAGAGAAATAACGAGCCAGTCAAGCACGAAACCCTCTTGCCGAGAGGAAGTACCAGGGAGCGACAACATTTAAAACTACCAACTTCTGAAGAATTTCTCTTATTTTTCAAAGTTCCTAAGAAATTTTAAGTGGGCAAATCTCCAAAGTCTAAGTTGTTCTTGTGGGTTATTTAAAGAACCGTAAAATGTAAGTGAAGCATTAACATTCATCTGTATTTATACGTTGGGACTACGCTAGTTTGATTGTTCATATTAAAAAATCATATTACTTTAGTCAACGTTGGGGCTGCTAGAATTTACTAGCAAGTAGCCACTGTACTGCCAGATGTCTAAGACTAAGTAAACAAAAGTATAGTAAAGAGACGCACTATCCTTTATTTACCGTGCTATCATTCTTACGACCAGTCTTAGTCGATGAATGTATCGATAGATCGTTACCGAACAAGCCCGTAACAACTGCGGTCCCTCTATCACAGGATAATTCATTTACTATGTAATTACGTGGGGCGTACTAACTCTGCGGGTAGCTAAATTACCCAAGCTTCATATATCAGCTTATGCTTTTACTTGCGATACGGCAATTGACTTAGTATCACTAAGTTTTAATTTCGTTATCGAAAGGTTTCCTTATCAACATCAATGTGAATCTGGTCGAACTCAAAGTATTTGTATCGAATATCTATCCAATAAAAATAGTCGATAATTAACAACTGCTATCTGTAATAATTCATTTGGTTAATTGCTTAAGATTTTATTGATGCTCTCAATATTTTTTAATCGCAATCAATATCTGCCATCAAGACAAGCAATTTCTTTTAACCAGTCATCTTATACCGGTTTAATGTCTCTAAAATATTAACAATAATCTCAAAAATTATATATTTTCTGAATAAAGAATAGAAAATTAGAGTGATTAACATTTTTCTGACAATATTCTCATCTATTATTCCTTCACAATACAATAAAAATAGTTGGATATTTTACACGATCTGATGAAACATACAGCATACGATTGTTAGCAAATATATATATGTATATGAAAAAAGTGTGCGATTTATGCTGTGTCATAGTTTGACGATAAATGTCAACGAAATAAAGATTAATCATACTGGTGGAGGATAACTGTAATGGGAAGCGTGAAATATAACGGTATAGTAATGAATGGAACAAGACATTACAGCAAGTGTTTCTCTCTCATGTTCAACCTGCGTCATTTTAATGATTAAATCGAATTATTATTAAATCAAACTAGGCTCAATGTCATCGTTATGTGTATGTATATACCCGTTCAAGAATTTCATATGTATCTACTAGCCATTTTTCAGTTGGTCTGAAATAACTGCAAATCCGAGAGCACTTTTGACCATCTAGGCAAACGGCAACATCATGAGCTACGACGAGCTGATCGTTGAGACTAAAACCGGTAAATTGCGAGGCTTGAAGGAGCGCAACTTCGAGGGCGAGCAGTTTTTCGCATTTAGAGGTATTCCATATGCCAAACCACCTGTGAATGAACTTCGATTCCAAGTGAGTATTTTTGAGATATTTGTATACTTGTCCGCTTAGCTTTAGACCGAGTTTTTAATTGAATGCTCGCATTGCCAGTAGATTATTCGCGAACATTGTTTAACAACTTGCTCAAATTGCAATATCACTCGTATTGAAATCAGGCAAATTCTTCGTTTGAAAACACCATTACTTAGATCATTCAAAAGAAAAATCATAACCGAGGAGTAGGCACGAGGTAACGTTCATACTTCTCACAGTAAAAGTCGTGAAGCACAGTCATAACAGCTGAGTTTACATTGTATAGAACATATACACTGACGTATATTCATTTTACATTCCAACTCTGAACCGAGTTCCAGTATAATCTTAAGAAACTTCGGTATAAAATCCGTTTTTATTACATTGAGCCTATACGAATAATCTAATGATTCTCACACGTGTGACAGCCACGCTCGAACTGTTTGAATAGTGGATTGTGATATCGTGAAAAAACATTACTGCTATCACAGTAAATAGATAAATATGTTTTACATTGCACGATCGTATTTTTTTCTTTTATATTCCTGTCAATAGTTACATACGAATCTTCTAATAATTTTTTTATCATTATAACAATATTTTTTCAAAAGGATCCACAACCCGTAGAACCGTGGACAGATATCAGGGAAGCATGGCTTCATGGCCCAAATTGTGCTCAGGTAGATATCATCACATCCGATATTACAGGCAGTGATGACTGCCTCTATTTAAATATATACACGAAGAAACTGAAATCAGACGAAAGACGACCAGTGATGTTTTGGATCCATGGAGGTCATTTTTCATCAGGTCACGGTGACGATTCCATGTACGGTCCAGACTACTTTATGCGCAAAGATGTCGTTTTAGTTACCATCAATTATAGACTGGGATGCTTAGGTAATTTATGAATCAATTTTTCTGTACATATGTACAGTTTTGAATGACGTATTTTTATGAAAAAATTTAATGAATATTTTTACTTAAAATAAAAAGGTGAACATATATTGTACACTCGTACTTTTTTGTAAGATTAGTTTAAGAGTTATGCTATTCATTGGAATTCATTGTGTATGATGACTTTACCTAATGAGCATGTCAACTACGATATATTTACAGGTTTTTTGAATTTCAATGAAGAAGGGGCGACGGGTAATCAGGGTTTAAAGGATCAAGTCATGGCTTTGCAATGGGTTCGCGATAATATTGCTACTTTTTGTGGTGACTCAAAAAATGTAACTATTTTTGGTCAAGGTGCCGGTGCCGCATCAGTTCATTACCTCACTCTTTCTCCATTAGCTATAGGTATTTACGATATTAAAAGATCTGATTTTTTAAATACTAAATGTATATTATTTTTTTACTGTAGGTTTATACCATAAAGTTATTGCTCAAAGCGGAGTTGCAATCAATCCGTGGGCATTCCAAACGAATCCTGAAGAATATGCATATCGGCTGTGTGAAAGTTTAGGACACAAAGGTAAAGATCCGAAAACAGCTGTTGAATTTTTGAAAAAAGTTGATGTCCAAAAATTAATTGACGCTCAAGAGCAGTTGTCAACAGATGAGGTAGTTGTTACTATTCCTTGTGTCACCACAAAACCTGATAAAATACTAATATTTAATTTTTAATTTTTACTTAGGAAAAGACCCAGTATGCCTTCAGTTTTGGCCCATCTCTCGATAGAAAATCTAAAAAACCATTTATGCCTGCGCATCCTGAAGATGTATTTACCAAGGGTATTGAAGTACCATGCATCATTGGTTATAATGATGCAGAAGGAATCTTGTTTCTGCCAAGTAATTGCTAATTGATAATAACTGTATTGGTCAATCTGTAGTATAACAATTTTTTTTTTCGTATTCATACTTATACTACACAATAACATTATCTCGATTTTTACAGTAATAACTAAAATAGTCAGTAGATTTAATAAAGAATTCAATAAGCTTCTACACCCGAAGGTTTTAGACACAATACAAAATTTATATAAGTTAACCCCCCAAGATTTGAAGGAATTTTACATGGAAAATGAAGAAATAACTACAGAGAATATCAATAAATTAGTTGAATTTCTCGGAGACCTATACTTCGTTGAGGGGATCCATCGAGTTTTAGAGGTGCAAGTGGAAGAACGTTCTGCACCAACGTATGTTTATTTGTTCACCCACGATAAAGATCCGTCATTCTTTAAACTGATGTCTAAAACTAGTATGAGGGGTAAGGGAATTTATTCAAATTTTTTAATAAAAATATGCAATTCAAACTTGATGTTGATTATAATATTTTGTGCTTAAATGAATGTATTATATTGTTAAATTTCAGGTGCAAGCCATATAGATGAAATATGTTATTTATTTGCAATGCATTCTTTTATCACTATGAAGCAACAGTATAGCACTCCTAGCAAAACTTTTTATCAATGGACTAAGTGGTTTGCTAAAGCGTTTCCGATGATGTGTCTATTTAAGGTAAAGAATCAAAATCACTTTATTATTAAGCTCTGATTGAAAAAATTGGAATTACATGGTAGGTTTTGTTCATAACTCAAAGAGAGTTTGCATTCATTTTCGTTGGAAGATATATTTTTAAATCATTAAAGTAAATAAAAAATCTTCGACTGAACTTGTCTTTTATTTCAGTGGGGAAGTTTTAAATTTCCTAAAAAGGGATCGGTCAGATACCGTATTTCTGAACAGATGATTGATATGTGGGTGAACTTTGCGACAATAGGGTATGTAACAATTTGTTATATATTATTAATACAGCTTGCTATAAACAAATAATCGAGAATTCATATGATTGATTTGTTACTGTATTAATATATTTCATTAAATGTTGTTGATTGATATTCTTTTTGCAGGAAACCAACGACTGGATCATCCGAATTAATCTCAATTGATTGGCCTGCCATCGATGATCGTTATTGTATAAAATATTTGAATATTTGCGATAATCTACATATAAATGAGGTGCCTCATATAGGAGAAAAGTTCAGATTTCTAAAAGATTGTAAATATTAATTACAAGGAAATATATTTTAGGACAACGATTAATATATAATTTTAATTCTTTTAAGTTGTTTTTTTTCAGACTATGTTAATTAATAATTTTTTTCACATATTTAGTTACCGTCAGATTTGTTGTCCAGATAATACCTTGTCTACTCTAGACGATTGTTAGTCTTACTAACGTTGTGTAACGCACTTTGCATGCCCTTCTTTTTTGTTATTGTGGCATTTATTGTAACAATTAAGCTTTTGTTTACATGCCAATTTTAAGATTCTATTACTGTAGACGCATAAATAAATGATACAATTGAATAAATAAAAATTATATCAGCATCTCACCGACACTATTTAACAAAAATCACTCATTCCAAAATACATTACAAAGTATTCCAAAAGTTTCAGTGGACCTATGATGAACTTAGTTAATATTAAACTTAATATTAAATTTAGTTAATATTTTTAGGTGGCTTCAGTATTAGACTATTATTAGTGATTCATTTGAAAATTGTCTTTTTTAATACATAACACTTTTGTTGATGCTAAAAATTTAACAAGTTCAACATTCTGATTAATTTCTGTTGCCCGAATATCTTTTACAATACAATGTACAGAAATATGATTTTTCATGCATTCTATTTAACTTTTTTTCTCTTTTCCAATAACAGTCACGAGATATAACACGAATAATAATAACAGAACATTCATTTCAATTTTACAGATAGAAGTTTGATCATTGATTTATAGATCATTGGTATTTCTCTTCGCGCTATGATGAAAGTCTATTTTATAATTATGTCGGCACAACGCAGTAACAAACTTACGAGATAAAATAGCTGCATCTCTTGGTAGTTGAGCGTGATCTATCTAACCGGTAGCACGAGTGACCTAACAGTAGAGACGCAAGTTGGCAAAGAATGCTATTCATTCAGGCTCATTCGTTGTATCGAACCGCCTATTGGATTGCTACGCTTCAAAGTGAGTTGTTTGGATAACAGATTTTCTAACGAAAACTTTTGCACTTCTACTCGTTGATTTTACTGACAAAAAAATTATTTATCACGCCTTTGAGTAATTGATAATGTTTATCAATTACTCATATTCAATGTCGATGGGCTCTTAATTTTATCAAGATATCAAAGAAATAGGAATATTTTTATACTTACTTCAAATATAGCACGATTGAATTATACATTATTTTGTAACTAGCTTTGATTGAAATTGTGTCTAGAAAGAATTTCACATGCTCAAATTTATGAAAAACTTCGATTATCTAAACACTTAAAAGTCTACACAAGATATATTATTCTTAAACAGCTATAGCCGGTAATAGTTTGGATCCATCGTGATGGTGTTATTAATGAAACTAGCTATGAAAAAGTTGACATTTCTTCAAGCTTAAGGATATCATTTTAAGAACGATCAATCATCGGGTTGGTGTTCGACGTAAATAAAATGAATTATCTCGTTATCATTAAAGAAGCTATATATGCGACAAGTTTGAGCTGTTACAATTGCTTCTTTGCTTTGTTTTAATGACACTAGTAATTCAAAATTAAAAACTCATGAATTTGTAACATGACGAGAGGCATTCTTGAAAGCTAAATAAATTCAACACATTTTTAACGTAAACAAGATGACATCAATGTGATTTTTCCTTTGTTTTTTAGAGCTATCGGTAAGCCTCCAAGAACTTGACAACGATTTTTCAATCAAATTTTGCATGCTAGTATGAAAAATACGATGCAAAAATATTACGAAATAATAGATTAAGATTTACAAGTATCTATTTTAATCTTTCTCTCTTCACATACCATCCAGGTAAATCTGTTCTCCGTGAAAAGGTTGCAGATAATTTAAGCTATGAGACTCTTTACAAGTCAATATTACATCAACATTCAATTAATAATTGTAATTTGAATTTTATCACGAATGGAGCGCCAATTTTGAGCGAATGACTGATTTGCTGATCATTGCAATGGAACTGACATGTTTTATTTTATGAAACTTAACTGAGAAATTCGTATCAATATCTGAGACGATTTCTCTTTAAATCCGGGAGGTTATCTTTACAGTCCCGATGTTACCACCGCGTCGCGAACTGAGAGCACCAATAGTTATAAAGTTTGAATTCAATTTTTGAAGGTTCTTCTAATACCATCAATATTTGGTTTGGCCAAGAAATCGAAGTATTTTTATGTAATATCTCTCAAAAGACGAATAAAAAATAGTTGTTAATGCACAATTATTTTACTTACATATTGCGCAATCAATATCTGCCATCATAGCAAGCGATCTTATTTTAATCAGTTGTTTTATAACTTCTTGATGTCTCTAAACAGCATAAAAAGTAATATAACATATTGTGTACTTGCTGAATAAAGCATACTATTCTTTTACAGTCCGATGAAAAAAAGTTAAAGTCGATTACGATTCAAACATACAACGTATAATTATAAGGAAGAAATACAAAAAAAATCGTAATACATGCTGCGTCATGGTTTTACGTGAAACGTCGACGAAAATAAGGAATGAGCGTGCTGGTGGAGGGGAGCTGTGATGGGAAGCGTAAAATGTGAAGGTATAGCAAAGAATGGAGCGGGGCATTACAAGTGCCTCTCTCACGCATTGGTCGTTCTATTTAAACGCTCGACCTACTTTACACCAGTCTGACCGAATCGAATTATCAGACTTTTCTTTGTTAAAAAAACCAGTTAGCAAAGTTATTTAAACTACGTTCGATATTAGAGCATTATTTGTGCGGGAATTTTCAGATGTCTCTGCTGGCCATTTTTCAGTTTATCTGACATTACCGCAAGTCCAAGCGGACGTCTGTCGGCGATGACAGTCGACCAACGTACGGGCAAGCGGCAACGTCATGAGCGACGACCAGCTGATCGTTGAGACTAAAGCCGGTAAAGTGCGAGGCGCGAAGCAGCGCAACTTCGAAGGCAATGAGTTTTATGCGTTTAGAGGCATTCCATATGCCAAACCACCTGTGAAAGAACTTCGATTTCAGGTGAGTATTTTTTGAGTTTTTATGTACTTCCCTACTAGAATCGATTTTTTAATCGAACGTCCGCATTGCTAATAGACTATTCACGAATGTTGCTCAACAGCTCATCCAAGTTGAATTGTCACTTTTATTAATATCAGGCAAATTCATCGTTTGACCTACGTAATTATGACAGTCAATGTCGTGCAGAGTTACCGAAGCGAATTCATTATCTAGTATATATCATTTATCTAATATAAATCACTAGGCTGTGAGAGTTTCTTTCTTTTCGTAAAGGAAAAACAACGCTTAATACCCATATTTCATTCAAACCAGTTTCTGTTTAATCTTAGGAAATTTCCATTCGTATTGCAATCATTCTAAATGCATAATCTGGCGATTCTCACGCGTGTGTCAGTTATGCTCAAGCTGCTCGTTTATAGCGGTGGATTATTATGTCGACAAAAAATACCTTATTGCTGTCACATTACATACGTTTCATATTGTATAATCGGTTCGTTTTTGCATGTGAGCTGTCCTTGATAGTTACATCCGAGCATACTAATGATTTTTACAAGAAAAAAAAATATTAATAGGATCCAGAACCCGTAGAACCATGGCCAGGTATCAGGGAAGCAATGAGTCATGGTCCAAATTGTGCCCAAGTAGATATCATAACATCCGATATTATAGGCAGCGACGACTGTCTCTACTTAAATATCTACGCAAAGAATTTGAAATCGGATGGAAGACGGCCAGTGATGTTTTGGATCCACGGAGGAGGTTTCACGATTGGCTATGGCGACGATTCCATGTACGGTCCAGACTACTTTATGCGCAAAGATGTCGTTTTAATTACCATCAATTATAGACTAGGATGTTTAGGTAATTTATGAATCAATTTTTATGTACATACGTACGGTTTTAATGTCATATGTTTGTGAAAAAAATTCAATGAATGTTTTTACTAAAAAAAGCGACTATATATTGAGCACTCATACTTTTTGATAAGATCAGCTTAGGAGTTACGCTTATCAGCATTTTGTCACGGTATTCATTGTCTACAATGACTTTACCTAATGAGAATATCAACTATGTTATGTTTACAGGTTTTTTGAATTTGAATGATGAAGTGGCGACGGGTAATCAGGGTTTGAAGGATCAAGTAATGGCTCTGCAATGGGTTCGCGATAATATTGCTAATTTTGGTGGTGACCCAAACAATGTAACGATTTTCGGCGAAAGTGCCGGTGCTGCATCAGTTCACTATCTCACACTTTCTCCATTAGCTAAAGGTGATAATTTCAATATCAGCATTAACAATTCCAATTCTTTTTCTACGTGTATTTAGCTTTTCCACTGCAGGTCTATTCCACAAAGCTATTGCTCAAAGCGGAGTTGCACTCAATCCGTGGGCATTTAAAACTGATCCTGAAGAATGTGCATATCGATTGTGCGAGCTTCTAGGACATACAGAGAAAGATCCGAAATCAGCTATTGAATTTTTAAAAGAAGTCGATATTCAGAAATTAATCGGAGCTCAAGGAAAGATATTAAAGAAAGAAGTAATCACTTTTATTTTTTACGTGTCGCAGTGGAAGCTATTAGAATAATGATATTTCATTTTTATTGTTAACTAGGAAAGATTTCAGTTTGTTGTTGGTTTTGGTCCAACAATCGATATAAAATCTAAACAACCTTTCATGCCTGCACATCCTGAAGAAATATTTACCAAAGGTATCGAAGTGCCGCTTATCATTGGCTATAACAATAGAGAGGGAATAATTTTTTTGAGAGGTAATTGATAACTGACAATTACTATATTGGTCAATGTTTTGATCTTCAGCCCGTTAATTTTCTTCTTTATTTATATATATTGCACAATAACGTTATATCAATATTTGCAGTATTGAATAAAGTAGTCAATAGATTTGAAGCAGAATTTGATACGCTTCTGCATCCTAAATGTGTGGACACGATACGAAATTTATATAATCTAACACTCGAAAAGTTAAAGCAAATTTATTTTGAAAATGATGAAATCACTGTGGAAAATATCGACAAATTAGTAGATCTTTTCGGAGACTTACACTTTGTTGAAGGAATACATCGAGTTCTACAGACGCAAATTGAAAAGAATTCTACGCCAACGTATTTTTATCTGTTCAATTATGACAAAGATCCATCGTTATTAAAAATGATATCAAGAACTAATATAAGCGGTAAGATAATTTTTAATACAGTAACAATAAAATTTAATACAAAAATATACAAATACCATCTTGATTGTTAGCTATAATATTTTTTGCTTTAATATTAATGTGTAATATCGCTAAATATTAGGTGCAAGTCATACAGATGAAATATTTTATTTATTTGCAATGCAATCTTTTACTACCATGAGACAACAATATGGCATTCCTAGGAAAAGTTGGTATCAATTAGCTAAGTGGTTTATCAGAGCGCTTCCACTTCTTTATCTAGTCAAGGTAAACAACTAAAACTATTTTATTATTTAGCATTTATTTATTAATTTGTAAATACATTGTTGGTTGGTTTGATAACTCAAGGAAATTTTGTATCTATCTAGGTTAAGAATAATTTTTTTAAATAATTAGAGCAAAAAAAGAAAATCTTAATTAAACTAGTCTTTAATTATTCCAGTGGAACAGTTTTAGATTTCCTAAAAAGGGAACAGTTAGATATCGTATTTCCGAACAAATGATTGACATGTGGGTAAATTTTGCAATAACAGGGTATGTAAAGGTCTATTCTAACAATCAAAATTAACCATTTGTCACTTTATTAATACGATTCATAAAATTTTGCTGATTGATATTTTTTTTGCAGGAAGCCAACCAATGGACCATCTGAATTGATCCCGGTTGATTGGCCTCCCGTCGACGACGGCAAAAATCTTCGATATTTGAATATTTGCGAGAATCTGCATATAGATGTTGTGCCGCATATAGAAGAAAAATACAACTTACAAAAAGATTATAAAAGCTAATCTTGGAAAAAATATACTTTAGGGCAATAATTTTTATAATTTTATGCTAATGAAAACGAAAACAAATTTAATTACATTGTTTTTGGCCTGCGTTTGGATTATGTTGTTTTAGACTGTGGTGTTATTAAGTTTTTGTTCGATGTTATGTTATTTTATAAATCCCATCATTGTACGATCTTTTTATCAAGTTATTTATTAAAAATTAGGTAAATATATCATTTTCTTTAACCGCTAATATTAGATGCAGCTCTATATCTCGGAGTCATGAAGCGTCAAAACTATACTTTATGTCGGATATTTATAGGGAGTTCATTTGACAAACAAAGAGATAATTTCAAGTTAATTATTTAAATTTGTTTCACTTTTTATTGGTGCAGATGAAGTTATTCAAAAAAATAGTGGAGTTTTCGAGAGCCGCATCAGATAACCTAATCACAATTTCAAATTGGGAACGTAAGCATCGAACTAGAAGTACCTTTTGATAATTAAGTGTATTCTATCTAAGTGACGGTATATATGACCTAATAGTAAATACGCAAGCTGGTAAAGTGTGCACTAAAAAGATGAATGTATTCGACAGCACTGAATACTATTCATTTAAGAACATTCTCTATGCCAAACTATCTGTGGATAGCTGCGCTTTAAAGTCAATTGTTTCGATAAAATATTTTTTTCACAAAACTTTGTTATTTTAATTGCATATGTTACTGACAAAAAAAACTATAATCTTATCTATGTGTTGATAAACATTATCATTTTCTCGTACTCAATGCCAATGTACACTTTACTTTATCAAGATATGAATATTTTTCACTTTCTATAGAGGTGACAAAATAGAATATTACGTTATTTGTTTTTTGATCGTAATACCAACAACAAAATTATCAGAATTGTCAGTTGGACGCCAGCTACTGATCAAATAAATTTACGATATTTGAGCATCTATGCGAAGATTTACGTATGTAAAATACAGTTGATATTAGATAATATTACATAGCTCAAAATTATCCTAAGAACCAAACCTTAAGAACTAAAAATTAATACCTATCGTTTTTTTGCTTTTATACTTTATGCCTCTTTGTTATTCAGTGTAACGTAAAATTACTGAAATCGTTGAATAATTAAACAGTATATAGTAAGAAAGAACTTGGAATTTAGCCAAGTCATCCAAACTAGAAAAAAAGTCGTTTTTTCGTCAAATCGCAGTAGAAAGTTGCTTGACCAGCTATCTTCAATGAGAAGCGAAGATCTATCTGACAGTCGAGGGAAATTTGGCTGACCGTTAGCATGAGTAAGTCGACAGTAGAGACATAAGCCGGTTTAGTGCGTTGTAAAAAAGTTAATAGTTTCGGCGGCACAGAATTCATTCAAGGGCATTCCATATGCCAAGCCATAATGAGTCGGTAATTTTTAAGTAAAGTTAACGTTTGCATCAGCGGAGTCGCTATGTTACGCCAGACGTGTTTTAGGGCCCCTGAACGAATCAACGATTATTTACTACAGTCACGAGAAAAGTCATCCATCATCTTTGCATTTGTGCTTACGAACAATATTACTCATTACTATTGAATGTCGTTTCGTAAGTAATGTCGTTTCTCGCGATCTCCGTCTGCATTTGGCTATCGGCGATGACAGTGATGCAAGAACATTTTCTTATTATGTATCTTCTTTTTGGCCAGCTGAGGCGCAGCCTGGACACTCAATGAACGGGCACTTTCCTTACAAAGTAATAAATTAACATATCCAATTTGCAATAAGACGTTTGGAATTTCGAGTTGCATACGAAGGAGATCGTTGCGGATTATAAATACTACGAGAAGCAATGGCTTGTCTCTGTATTACGTCAAATCTTCGTACCCTCGTGATCATACCCAATAAAGGGTTGATGTCACAATGTATGGAAAGGTTTCCTTTCATTGCAATTGTTATATAAAAGCTGCTAAGTTTTCCTTCTTGATTTTTAATTTTAAAGTAAAACTAATAATGCGTGATCGATAACCGGCCAAAATCGGATATGTCAGAACAATTTCTCGCAAAAACATCTTACTTTTACAATTATACCACAGAATCTTTAAAAGATAATATTAAACATGTATAATATTACATAAAAAGATATATTAGAAATGATTACCAAGTTGTACGAGTGCGCCGCACAGTGATTCATAATAATCAGCGCTTACTCGAATCCCTGAAGTACTCGTCAATAAAAAGTAGAGATAGTGACATGTAAGATATCTCTCGTCAGTATAGTAACGTCTATCCAACCAACAACATGAGTGAAGTGATTGCAGAGACACAAACCGGCAAAGTGTGCGGTAAAAAAGATATTGGATTTAATGGCATTGAATTTTGCTCGTTCAAGGGCATTCCGTATGCCAAACCACCCGTTGGCGAACTGCGTTTTAAAGTGAGTTGTTTGGATTGCATGTAAACTTAAACATACATTATCTATTACAAACTTGTATTTCTAACAAGATTTGAAATGCACGGTGTTTACATGAGTCTATTTTAGAATCTCAAGGTATATACTTAGATTGCAAAAAGACAAGAGCTCCTTTTAATTCTAATCGATGTGACTGTTAATAATTTTGTTTAATCCATTGCTAGCAATTTCCCGTGACTAAATAATTACATCGCTCTTATATAAGAAATGATCATGCGAAACTACTATTTTTTCTCTCCAAGATTCTATTTCCATTTATTTGTGTTTCTATGATTCTCTTCTTAGGATCCTATTGATGTTATTTTTTGTTCGTTTATAAATCGAAGATATAATTTAATAACTTTCAAAATATGCTTTCACATTTCTCTGTACATGTACAGAATAGTCTTAAAACAACAGTTACTATATCAACAAACTAAGAAATCATAAGGATTGTTAACTGGTCAACCAAAGAATCATTAAGCTTCTCATAAAGATTACATTTTTTTCAGGATCCCGAGCCAGCGGCTTCGTGGACAAATGTTCGCGTTGCAACTAACTTTGGTCCAAATTGTGCTCAAAGAGATTTTTTCACAAAGCAAATTGTGGGAAGCGATGATTGCTTATACTTGAATGTCTATGTGAGATGTATTACATCAAAACAACGATGGCCAGTTATGGTTTGGATTCACGGTGGTGGTTTTGTATGTGGTTCTGGTGATGAATCGTTTTTTGGGCCAGATTATTTTATGTCGAAAGATGTTGTTTTGGTCACAATCAATTACCGGGTTGGTGTTTTAGGTAAATTTATCACATTTAATAGAAAATCAAAGTTCTTTGATTACATGTTCACATAACTGTCTCGTCTTTCATTCATACTCAGGCTTCTTGAATTTGGACGATGAGGTGGCACCTGGTAATCAAGGTTTGAAGGACCAAGTGATGGCTTTGACGTGGGTACGCAATAATATTGAAAACTTTGGTGGAGATCCCTATAACGTAACGATTTTCGGTGAAAGTGCTGGTGGCGCATCTGTTCATTATCTGACTATCTCGTCATTAGCAAAAGGTATGTATTATTTATGGTTTGATAGGTAGTGCAACCATAAATTTTTGTATTAATTGATAAAATCGCGACGATGTTTTTCATTGGATATTCAGGTTTATTCCATAAAGCTATTTCACAAAGTGGCGTTGCTCTCAATCCATGGGCATACCACTCGAACGTAGAATTGAAAGAAAAAGCGCACAGAATATGTCAAGAATTAGGTCATACCGGAAAAGATGCTAAATCTATTGTTGAATTTCTTAGAATGACTGACATTAAAACATTGATCGAAGCTCAGGAAAAAATTGTATCTAAAGAAGTAAGTAGATAGCAGTTATTTTTCTTTCCTGCATGATATAAGACACGGACGATAATTATGAAACATTATCATTACAGGAAAAAATTCAATTTATATTCTCTTTTGGTCCTACTACAGATTCCAAATCAAAAAATCCTTTTATGCCTATTCATCCCGAAGAAGCTACCTCTAAAGGAACTAAAGTACCTATGATTATTGGCTACAATAGCCGAGAGGGTATGATTTTCTTATCGGGTAAATAAATTCAGTGCTATGATATTTCAAATAAAGAAGAACTACATCCAAATTATTCACCTTATATTTTTCAGATCTACTGTTGGAAAAAAATAACCTCGCAGAGTACATAAATGATTCTGGCAAAGCACTACATTCTAACACAAAAGATACGATGAAGAAATTGTATAATTTGACTGTAGAAAATTTAATGCATATCTATTTTAGAGACGAGACAATAACAAATAAAAATCGTGACAAATTGGCTGATTTTATGGGAGATGTGCAATTCGTGGAAGGCATTCAAAGAGTTATCAAGACACAAATTGAAAACAGTGACTCGCTCACATATTTTTACCAATTTACTTATGACAAAGAAATATCTGTATTCAAGTTAATCAGTAACATTAATTTGACGGGTAAGAATGTTTCTTTGCGTGTCTAATACTTTGTATTTCCGAATCATCTGAAAAAAATCAAACTTATGTTTTGTGATTATAAAACGAACAGTAAATGATAAAAATATCTCAATTTTTAGGTGCTTCTCACGGGGATGATATAGAATATTTATTTAAAACGCACTTTTTCAAGGATAAAATAGAATCCCCGAAAAAAAGTTCCGTCAAGCATAGGATTAGCGAACAGATGATTGAGCTGTGGGTTAATTTTGCCACCACTGGGTACGTACCAATTAACCGTTAAACACTTAATTGATTGCTGATGACTAAATACAATAATTTTGTAGGATACCAACACCAAAATTATCTCGCATATTACCATTTACATGGGAGCCAGTTAATAAAGAAATAGGCCTTCGCTATTTGAATATCTGCGATAATGTACGTATGGAGGTTGCGATTGATATAGGCCAACATTACGCCGCGCGAAAATATCCCAAGAGTATTGCTTGAGAATGCTTATCATCTTTTTATTATTTTATTTGAGGCTCATTGATGTCTCGCAAAAAAAAACTTTCACAAAATTCAGAATATTACCACGTGAAAATAAAATCATGTGATATATGAGGTAATTGTTTACAAGATTACCTAATAAAATATTTCGAATCCACAATGAACTTTGTAATAGCATTACTCACGTACCTAAACAATAAACACACATACAACATTCTCGGAATAGAGACTGAATTTACATGTCTATAAATACTATTACTGTCAGTGTGTAAACACTCATGTATGCAAAAAGAAACTGTTGAATCTAATTAATCATATGACCTGAATCAAAAAAATAACGCAGCAGTGACACGGAGAAAAACAAAAAAAGAAACGCAGCTCATGGCGCAACGGTCGATTCATAAAAACAAGCACGGTAGTGGCGCAAGTCATCGGCGCGTTTAAAAACTCGAAAGATTGCAACTGTCAGTACGTCAAAATCGTTCTGTTTGAACGGTCGATGCAAGAAACGATATAACGCGACATTATAGAAGTAGAATCTTTGCGTGTTCACACGAGTATAATGGACGAGCTAGTTGTGGAGACACGAGCTGGAAAAGTGCAAGGTGCTAAGCAAATCAGCTCTCGAGGTAATGAGTTCTATTCGTTCAAGGGCATTCCTTATGCCAAACCACCCACTGGCAAGTTGAGATTTCAAGTAAGTTATTACTATTGTATGCATATTATAATTAATACTTACGAATTTTCCAATCAAATAATATTAACATACACAACATTATATGATGCAATTTTCATGGCTTTGAAGTTCTTTTCTCAGAGTAGAATATGTTGGTATGAATAAGAAATCTTTTTTTTGAAGCATTAAATTAAATCAATTATTACGAAACTAATGTTATCATTGTCGTGTACTAGAAGAAACTTTTTCTTTCTTGGATATTTGTTCATCTAAATATTACAAAAATTACCAGATCATAAACATAGATTTTATAACTTTTTTAAGGATCCAAAACCTATGGAACCATGGACGGGTGTTCGAGAAACAACGAGTCACGGACAAAACTGTGCTCAATTGGACTTTCTCACTAACGAAATAATAGGAGGTGATGACTGCCTATATTTAAATGTATACGCGAAATCTATCGATGCAAACGCAAAATGGCCTGTGATGGTTTGGATTCATGGAGCTGCTTTCGTTGCCGGTTCCGGCGATGATTCATACTATGGACCAGACTACTTTATGTGCAAAGATGTGGTTTTGGTGACGATCAATTACAGGTTTGGTATTCTTGGTAACTATCATTGATATTGTATTTTAGTAAACACGAATTAAATGAACTATCAAAAATAATTTCATTCGCGTGCTTTATCTTAAAATGTCGCATTGCAGGCTTTTTAAATTTACAAGACGAAGTGGCTACAGGTAATCAGGGTTTAAAAGATCAGGTCATGGCTCTACGATGGGTCCGCGATAACATATCCAATTTTGGCGGTAACCTTGAAAATGTGACAATTTTCGGCAGCAGCGTGGGTGCCGCATCGGTGCATTTTTTAGCTTTGTCCCCAATGGCAAAAGGTATTGTTCATATTGGAAGTGGTTTATATGTCGACGAAAATAATCTAATTGCGTTAATTGTGCAATGAGACTTTCGTCATTGATTGATAATTTCTAATAACTTAACGAAGGTGTTATTAACAGGCTTATTCCACAAAGTAATTTCTCAGAGTGGCAGCGCGTTAAATCCATGGGTATTTTTATCAGATCCCAAAGAAAAAGTTTACCAACTTTGTGAACACTTGGGATTCACGGACAAACAGCCTAAATCCATCGTTCAGTTTCTCAGATCGATCGATACGAATGAATTAATAGAAGCACAAGAAAATTTATCATTAAAAAAGGTAAGAGCACAGACCGTAATTAACCTTATTTGAAAATTAAAAATCAAATAAACATATTAAACTATAATAGGAAGGTATCTGGTTATCGTTTCCATTCGGTCCGAGTTTGGATTCCCATTCAGACGAGCCTTTTATGCCTGTTCATCCGGAAATAGCAGCCGATGAGGGTATACAGGTACCTTTGATCATTGGCCACAATAGTCGTGAAGGAATAATTCATTTGAAAGGTAAAAATATACGTGAAATAGACGAGAGCAATGGAATTTGCAGTGATATTACAGCAACGCGCCGTTGCGTCAGCTAGTTGTCAATCACATGATAGAAAGTGTAAGCGCTAATGTGGTGGGAACGATTCTTCACATTCCACGATGATTTACATAGATTTCCATCATGCGCGTGCATATTTACTCTTTTTTTTTGTAAAACGTGCAATTAATAGGAAACTGATTTCGAAAGCACACCCACTCATATATTTATTTATCTATTTATTTATTTTAACATTGGTTATTATTTCACTTTTAATTCGAGACACCCATCTCGTGTTACAAATGTTTAATTACTTTTGTACAATTCAGACAATTAGTTTATAAATTTTCAGTGAAGTGAACATTATACAAAGAAGTAATTTCTACCTTGCAGATATAGCAAAGCTTCTCGACAAATTCAACAACGAAACCGACAAAGTGTTGCATCCTAACGCAGTGGAAGTTATTAAAAAATTGAACAATTTGACGCCTGAAAATTTGAAACGCATCTACTTCAACGATGAAAAAATAACGGCCGAAAATTTGGAAAAGATGGTAGACTTGATTGGAGATTTGTACTTTGTCGAAGGAATCCACAGAATTTTGAAAAAGCAAGTTGAATCGAGTTGCGCACCGACATATTTCTATCAACTAACCTATGACAGAGGACCGTCTATCATGAAAAGATTATTAAACACGACGATGAGCGGTATGAACACGCGATTTTTAGCGAATAAACTTGGTTGCTATTTCATTCGCATGCTTTCGTATTGTTACAGGCGTATGTCATACAGAAGAGTTAAAGTATTTGTTCAGAGCTCACTTTTTGGACGACAAAATAACATTCCCGGGAATAGGAACAGATGAGTATAGAATAACCGAGCAGTTAATTGAGATGTGGGTTACTTTTGCGACTGTGGGGTGAGTGAATCATTCGCGTGTACGCGAGAATAAAAATAATAATATTGATTTGAGCTAATTCAATAGCAAACCAACGGCAGATGTATCGGCATTAACGCCGTGTCATTGGCTGCCTGTCAACGACAAAACCGTTCTAAGATTCCTAAACATCGGCCAAAATTTACGCATGGAGGTTGTTTTCAGTTTGGAGAAACTTTATGCCGCACGCAAACATCCCAAAAGCAAGTAGTGCATGGCATTATAGCCGTTGTACTTTGAAAAATTTTCCACTCTATTGGAATAATGCATTCATTTGTAATCTTCGTAGCAGTTACAGTAACTCGACTGTATTATTACACGTAGAATTGAAATAAAGAATTTTTCAATTGAACAATCGATAAATCCAAGCATAATTCTCTGATCTCATAAATTAAAAAAATCAAATCACACCATGATATCCTCGAAATGATAGAAACATTGCAAATTCCATTGCAAAATAAATTTGACACAATGTTGTCCCAAGCAATCATCGCTACACGATTGCGAAGAACAGTTAAATAGCTTGGAACAAAGTCGCAGGTGGGGGGAAGAATATACTTGATAAGTATCACTACCGCGCATAGGCCGTACAGTGAGCAGTGACTGTCTTGGTCGGATGCGAACGCTGGTTGCAATCGTCCAGGGTCTAGGTCAGCGTCAACATGGATTTCGTGGTGAACACGCGTGTCGGCAAGGTGCGCGGTATCAAACTAAAGAATCTCGTCGGTGATGACTTTTTCGCTTTCAAAGGTATCCCTTATGCCAAACCACCGGTTGGGGACTTGCGATTTCAAGTGAGTTTTCGTACACTTTTTATCTTTAGCTTTATGTCAGTTGACAGTTTGACGGTTAAAACGTCAGTGATTTATTCGAAATCGTTGGATTTCAGTTAAGCTTTCTTCCAGCTGACGAATTAGCTTAGTAATCATGGTCATCCCGTTTCAATGATTAATTTATTATTGTTGTGCTGCTCAATGAATCGCGCATCTGACGGTTTAAATTCGCGCGTGCGCTCTCAGCTCTATAGTAATTGTCTAAACTTCAAAGCTGAAACGATTATCTTATTGTATGACTGTCTTGAAAATTATATAGCGCTGTTTACAAAGCGCTAGCACGCGCGCACACGCACACACACGTATATATGTATAAAACTTTGCGTAAAATCTTATTTCAAATGAAATATGACTTTGAAAATTTGCTTTTGAGAATTATCCCGCAGAATATAAAAACGCACGCTATATTTCTAGCAGATTAAGTTTTTATGGCTTCGTTCAAAAACAGCTTGTTGGTAATTTAGGATCCCGAGCCCGTGGAGTCATGGACAGGTATTCGAAACGCGGTGAGCCATGAATCGAATTGCGCTCAACATGATATTCTCTCCGGTCGAATCGTTGGTAGTGATGACTGTTTATATCTGAATATTTACACGAAGCACACAGAAATTGGATTAAAAAAGCTACCTGTCATGGTTTGGATCCACGGCGGAGGCTTTAACTACGGTCACAGTGACGATACACTCTATGGATTTGATTACTTCATGCGTAAAAATGTTATTACAATCTCAATTAATTACCGAGTTGGCATTCTAGGTAATTATAAGTATATTAATCATTTCGCTAACATTTGTAAAACGCTCTGGACTTTTGCAGGATTCCTGAATCTGAACCACGAAGTAGCAGCTGGCAATCAGGGTCTTAAAGATCAAGTAATGGCTTTGCAATGGATACGCGACAACATCGCCAGTTTTGGTGGCGATCCCGATAACGTCACGATTTTCGGCCAGAGTTCTGGCGCTGCTGCTGTGCATTACCTTACTATTTCTTCACTGGCAACAGGTGAGTCATTTGAAGCGAGCATTAGGTGAACACAATTGAATAATTTTTGCCCAATTAAATTATAAAACATAGTTCTTGACGGTCAATTGTTAAGCGACTTTTTATTTAAAATAATAATTTATTTTCTTTATTATGTGTTTCTAGGATTATTTCACAAAGCTATTGCTCAAAGTGGAGTGGCATTGAATCCATGGATTTTTCATACAAAGCCTGAAGTAAGAGCACATCAATTATGCCAACAACTAGGTCATACAGATCGAGATCCACTATCCATTGTTCAATTTTTAAGAAAAATCGGTATCGAACGATTGATTGAAGTCCAAGAAAACCTACTCACATACGATGTACGTCAATATTTGTCAAATCTTTAATCTAGCAAATGCAATCACTGCTTGGCACAATTCTTCAAGTTTCCAATATTTCGTAGGAAAAAATTCAGTTCGCGTTCCCTTTTGGACCGAGCATCGACTTAAAATCAAAAAGGCCTTTCTTGCCTGTGCACCCAGAAGTGGCGGCTGCTAAAGGAATTCAAGTACCTATGATCATTGGTCATACAAGTCGAGAAACCACATTTTTATTAAAAAGTATGGTCCATATATCTTCAAGAATCGTTTTTTATGTAATTCGTTACCGAAACTATAGGTGTTCTTTCATTTCAATTTTTGTAGCAATAGGAGAAGATCACGTCAGATTCAATGATGAATTCGACAAACTGTTGCATCCAAATTCAAAGAGAATTTTACGATGGTACGACTTAAGCTCAGAACATTTAAAACACAATTATCTGAAGAACGATGTTATTACAGAAGAGAATGTCGATAAATTGATTGATTTATTAGGAGACTTGTACTTTGTCGAGGGTATACATAGAGTCATCAAAATTCAGGTTGAGAAAAACCTTGCGCCAATTTATTACTACCAATTCAGCTACGACAGTGGACCTTCATTCAGGAGACTGTTATACAACAATTTCATGAAAGGTAAAGAAAACTTATTTCCAGCCAATTATAAACACGAGGACAAGCCAAATAGCGTGAATATGCTTAGCTCGTTTAAGGTGTACCTAAGTTAAATCGACATTCTTTATTTTACAGGAGCATCACACGCGGATGATTTGCATTTTCTATTCTACACTCACTTTTTTGATGGCACGATGGATTTACCGCAAAAGGGTTTGGACAAGCATAAAATTACTGAGCGAATGATCGAGCTATGGGTAAATTTCGCGACAACAGGGTAAAATTTAACATTTTGATGCTTATTCTTCGTAGATGTATTTTTAACTATATATCAATCTGATAAATTCGTTCGTACATAGGATGCCAACTCCAGGTCTATCGAACGTAACTTCGTTTAATTGGGAACCCGTTAACAACAAGACGGTGTTTCGTTTTTTAAACATCTGTAAGGATATGCGTATGGATGTTGTACTCAATTTGGAGCACAGATATAATATCCGTAAAAACAAATAAAAAAAATGGTAAAAAGTAAAAACAAATTGTAAAAAGTCGGGGACGCGCAAAGGTCAGTCATTGCGTTATTGATGGCTCATTGTGCTTCGATCTATTGACTTCCATAAATTTTATATATTTATTCAGGTGAACTTTATTAACTGTAACAAGTTTTGTACGTTGATTGATAATTGTCGCATGTTCTACTATTTTATTCATCGTGTATGCTTTTTGGATGTATGTTGTATTCACTGTGATTCAGTTCATGAATATTATTTGAATAAATGAGAATTATATTTGTTTCGAATGCACGACTTATTTATGATAGTAGCAACGTTCTAAAGAGAAAGAAGCAAGAATAGCTATTTAATCACGCAGTTTCTTAAAGTAGTGCAGTATCGTGTATATTTGTATGGGCTTCTTGCTTTAATTCTAAAGAATGGGTTTACAAAAGTCTCGCACTTTTAAGAAGTAACGAATGTGAATCCAAAAAAATCCTTGATTTTCTTCGCACTATGAAGCTTTCTTCGTTTTTAATACGTTCATCATAGTCTTGAGCTATTTACTTTGCTTGCAAGCGAATTCTCATAGACAAGGTTCCAAAATTACCTCTTGTTTGCACCAAAACTCGATGATAAATTTAACGATCTCGCCTTGCTTGGACTAACAAGCAAAACTCTTGTCACTGATCTTTGGCTACAACTCTAACTTAGGGATCTTCTTTTATAAGATTGATAGGTATTACCAAATTTTATGCCATCAATTTTTATGTCATCCCTTGCAGATTTACGATACATACACTTGGAAGACGTTAATCGAAATTTTCGAAAGTATGTGCAACATCATATTCTAAAGGCACTCGAGATTTAAGGTATGATTTTGGGTAAATTAAGAAATTTGACAGGGAAAAGTATATCTAAACTTAATATTGATGAGATTATTGAAATTTATAACCATGTCCACGTGTGCAATGAGATTCATCATCGAGGATACAACTGTATACTGGCGCTACGTCTACATATCATTACAGTTTGAAATTCAGGATGAGGAAAGACGGATGAATAGATGGCAAATACGAGTTCTGTTGCTCATTATTTAAAATATAATGCGTACAGGGGAGAATTTAATGCACCGTGCGCAGATGGCGCTATACTCGATCAAGTTATTTACAAGGAAACTACCCTAGGTGTACCTCACTTATTTTCTTCATTTTTTGATATATTGTACATCGAAAAATATTTCACCCGTGTCTTTTTGTTTGTGCTAATTCGGCGATTTAAGGGGTGAAAACTACCTCTAAAGTTCACCCCCAAAATGGGTTTTTTCTACATTTCTCGGAAATTATTTCGAGTTTCTCAATGAAACCAAGTAAATATTATTTGTTATTAAAAAATAAGTATTTATGTATTATTTCCATCAATAAAGGTTGCATTTCCTTTTTTTATAAGTTTTGTGGATGAACTTTAGATGTGGTTTTCACCCCTTAAATCGCCGAATTAGCACAAATAAAAAGACACGGGTTAAATATTTTTCGATGTATTACAACATATCAAAAAATGAAGAAGTTTCCTTGTTAGAGCAGGCAGAACGACATTATTCTCTCTTCTAAGAGTTGAGTCGAACTGCCATAGTTGGGGAGGTTGAGAGTTTTTCTCAGCTTCGCTTCCTTCCTTTTCTGTCTCTAGGGGACACCTTTTTTTGTCTTTTAAAAGAGGAAAAATGAGAAACTCGCGTTACGAGTAATCAGCGAGCGCAAAGAGATAAGAATAAATTAAAAAGAGAAAGTTTGAAGCGTCAACGCGGTCACTAGACGTATCTCGCACCCAACATTTGCAGGGAATTAGAGGCGCGCCGAGTAATACGTATGGCCTGCACCCGAATGTTGTCTCACCGAAGGAAGGCGTTGTGGCTTCCTTCGACATAACGTGAAATACGCGTTGAAATTGTATGCGACGGCGCTAAAAAGTGTCGAAGCAGTGATAGGAATGTTAAGAGTGGACGCGTCTTGCGATGGTTTGAAAAAAGCGAAAAAGGGGATTTCCGCCTTGTCGACCGCACGATGAAATGTAACGCGGAAAACGCAAACGACGTCGCTATCACCGCCCTCAAACCAGTGTATGGGCACTTAGTCGAAGGACTAAGATGACTCACACGGATAACAATGGAAAGTCAGAAACAGAATTTTCCCATGGAGCAGGGACAAAGTCCTAAACCCTCAGTGATGAAACTACTTCAGAACAGCCACCGCCGAGTCACGGTGATTCTAGAGAGGAGCGGAGTAGTAGGCAGCGCCTAATGAACATCATGCGGAAACTGCATAAGCTTTGGGTCTGAATTGAAGAAGAGCAGTCGCGAGGAAAGAAAAAGTTGTTATAGCGGCCTTTTCTCCTTGTTTTAAGACCTTTCTTTTTTTTATGAGTTCAGTTCAGTTTGGACACTCGAAGAGACCACTTATTTTCTTTGTAAAATTGCGTCCGTGCGGTCATTGCGTTTATTCGATTAATTTTATTCAATGTAAAATAAAAATTCAGAATCTTAAGCCTTTTTTTAGTCTGCATTTATTATCACTCATTCCCAACCCGAAACACTCGAATGGCCTATCTGCGCGGTCTCACCGAAGGGACCTTGACGATATATTATTTGTATGTGCCCTCGGCAGATTTCGAGGAAAGCGTCAGGGTCTTGTAATTCGTTCGATTTTCTCTAACGTCTCAAAAAAAAGAGAAATAGCCTAAAAAGATGCAAAGGTTGGCATTGACGTGAACATTTGACCGGTACGTGAGGCACACACTTGAGGAAGTGTGCAACCCCACAACACATTTTCTTACGACAAAAATACCACACCTCATAATAAGCTATACTATTACAAACGACGTTCAAAGGTTATCGATAAATAAATTTATACAAAGTCATCATGAAAATGATATTTTTGTTAAGATATTGTAAATGAAATAGCATTTTTTTACCATTTTAACAACTTTTCAACAGAAGCTAACCATGGAGAAGAATGGCATATCTTTTCAAACTATGTAAGTGGGTTACTTTGGAAATAGAACAGCTACACGATGGCCCTGGTGCCGTAAAAGTAATGACAAGTGACAAGACAAATAGTCGAAATGTGGACGAATTTCGCGAAAACTGGGTAAGTTACTTAAAAGTAATTTTTTATTTTTCAAGAACGTTCTTTTGCAGAAAACTAATAGCGAGAGAATCAACGTTGTTACCGGTCGATTGGCAGCCACTGACTAAGAGTTATTAGTAGATTTATTCAGATATTGGCGAGGAATTGGTTATAAAGAAAGTGTTGATTGTGGAAAAAATATATTTTAAAAAAATTGATTTCTAATCATAATTGTCGGTTTGCTCGCATTATTCGATGAAATCGCAGATACTTTGCAATTCACTCGCGTTTTATTGTAAATTCATAAATTTCAATAAAAGAAGATTAGATAACAAAAAGCTCGAATTCAATTAGCGCGTAAACTAGGACGTCTCTTTGTAAATGATTCGTACGATTTACTTAAAAATTTTAAAAAAGCGTGAAACAGGTTTTCTTGATAATTATACAATAATTTTCTATCAAAATCAGCTTTACCGATTTCATTTGATAACTCATAATTTAATAAAACAATTAGTAATGATAAAAAATTAAAAATAAATACAAACATTACGTATAAAGTATATACAGATAGTGCATGTCGACTGCATGGAAATATATAATAGTATGTGTTGGTCATTTAACTATCCAGCTGGCATCAAGCTAATGTATATATCAATTAAATTTTAAGTGTCCCACATTTTATGAATATCGATTTTAAGAATATTGATATGTACAACTAAATCGGTAAATGACAAGTATGCATGGAACGTAGACAGATTATGCGAGTGGTGCGCTTAGGTGTATTATCATACAAAATTATGCCAGATTAAATATATATTAATTATTTTTAATCTATGACACATGTCTCGATATTTGTGCCCGACTTATTGAAGGGAGTAACGACTTAATTATTCATCACATAGATATTCATAAAACTTGGAATATTTTTTCAAATTCATTCGATTTATATGAGCTTAATTCCAGCTGTAGCATTAATACGTATTATACATTTCGATGCCACCGACATGTACTAATTATACATTTTATACGTTACGCCATTATACAGGCGAATGATTGTATTTGTTTCCAACAAGCTTTTTGGAGGGAGTATTTCTGAAAAAATTATCTAAACTATCTAGCGACTTTCTAACATAGTGCTCTTGTGCTGGAGAGCACGAGTGTATATATGGTTAGCGTATAGTTTACTTAAGACTAAGCAGAAAGCCGCCGCCAGGCGTTGGCATGGAAAACGTAAGAGAAAGTTTTGTGAGAATCATCTACCTAATATTTGCGAGAGCAGCCCTATCGGACTTTAGCGTTGTCAGTTTAAAGGAAGACACGTCTGAGTTACAATGTATCAAATCTATTACATATGTTACCTTAGCATTACATTAGATTACGAATAATAACTTTCTTTGAGTTTATTCGAGATCTCGAGTTCAATTAATTGGAACAGCTCTTAACTGAATCCCACAATATTTCAAAAATCAATCAAAGCGTTTATCAACAAAATTATCAAAAAATAAATCGAAGCATTATTGCTGTTTATACCGAATAACACGATAATGTGCTAAATTTGGAGCACTTCTCTGTGTAGCTTGATAAACAGGGAACTAACACAGGCATAACGGTATACATGAAAAGAGAAGCGAAAGAGGCAGGAACGCGATAGCAGTCGAGTTTGCGAGTGCACTGCTTTAGTTGAGAGGATGGAACGGAAGAACGCGGTTGTCGACACGTCGAGCGGTAAATTGCAGGGTTCGTGTCAACGAAGCTGCTTAGGCGATAAATATTATGCGTTTAAAGGGATACCCTATGCTAAGCCACCAACCGGTCAGCTAAGATTTCGAGTAAGTTTTTTTCGTTTCTCATTCATTTTAAAAAAAGTAGAATAGGCTTTAGCAGTAAGTGTGCCTCGCGTGTTGATAGTTCTAATCATCTTGCCAGGTTCAACATTATATAGCTTGATAGCGATTTTTACACCTGGCAAATAATCTATTGTCATCGTTGATAACAACGATTTGATTTTGAACTTTTAATACATATAACACTAACAATGTCTTCAATTTAACGATAGATAAGGTAAATTGAGGTTTCTTATATTTTTATAGGAATATATTTCTTAAGTATTCATAACTGTCTTTTAAGTAAAAAACAAGAATTTTAAAATGATAAATAATTGTTTTTAAACTTCATGTGGTTTAGCCGCAAATAATAATGCGTAGAACCTTCACATATACCGCTTATTTACTAACTACAACTTGCACTTTTATCAGTGAAAGTTTCACACAAACAAATATTATATTATGTTAAAAAATTTTAAGATAAAAACATATAATTTAAAAAAACTTAGGATCCGCAACCAATGGAACCATGGACGGACATCCGCAATGCAATGTCATATGGATCGATTTCAGCACAGTACGACGCTGGATTAAAAGAAGTGATTGGTTCCGAGGACTGCTTGTATTTGAATGTATATACACGAAATTTAGATGCATGTTCGCGAGCACCTGTGATGTTTTGGATCCATGGTGGAGCGTTTCTATCTGGTAGTGGCAACGACGATATGTTCGGACCTGATTATTTGCTCACGAAGAGTGTTGTACTTGTCACTATTAACTACAGACTTGGGGTTTTTGGTGAGTGAGTTTTAAAAACTTAAATGATGTTTTTCCATTTTGGTTAATAGAATAATTGAGTTATATTTGTTCAACCGTAAACGTCATTATCTGTGGAAGTTGTAAATTCGAATATATTAAAATTTTTTATCTATCTCCTCGAGACAAGGTAAATAAAATAAAATAAAGAATTTTCATTTATGTCAATATTTCGATAACCGTTTCACCCCTTTATGCTTTTTTTTAACAATACAATATCAAGATAACTGGTTTATATACGCTGTAAAAATGTTAAGTCAAAATATGATAGTATTTTTAAGAAGATTAATTTTTCTAATGAATTTAAACAATTTGTTTTGTTATTGATTTTTTAAAAAATAAAGCATGCCTGAAGAGGGTAATATGGTTGCGGTACCGTTGGTATACAAGAAAACTCTTCGTATTATTTTATTTATCTTGACTCGTGGAGATTGACAAAAAATTCCAATCATCATGATGAACTAAATCATTAACAATCCTTCAACATATTATATTCTAGCTGCTAACTCATAAAAATTATTGCTACCAAGAGTATAATGCAAAACAAGAAATCAAAATTTGGCCGACGCGTTATTTCAAATAACGCGCTCATAACTTCTACAGGTTTCTTTGATTTGGAAGATAAAGTGGCGCCTGGTAATCAGGGCCTTAAAGATCAGGTGATGGCTTTGAAATGGGTACGCAATAATATTATCAACTTTGGTGGCGATCCTGATAATGTTACAATTTTCGGCGGTAGTGCGGGTGCGGCGTCAGTTCATTTTCTCACAATGTCGCCTATGGCAAAAGGTATGATTATCATAAAATTGAAATGCGTAAATTTTTGACTTATCATTTGCTTTTTCTCTAGGATTGTTCCATAAAGCAATTTGTCAAAGTGGCACTGCAATTAGTACGTGGGCAACGAAGAAGAATCCAAAGAAAGTTGCATTTCAGTTTCTCGATGCTTTGAATTGCAAACAACAAGATCCTAAAGTGATTGTTGAATTTTTAAGGAATATCGAATATACTCGAATAATCGAAGCACAACAGACATTGGCCACACCTTTGGTAGGTAACTTGAGTACATTGTTTTAGGAAATAAATCGAGTGAACACGTTAATATTTTTAGCACATGTTAAGAGGTGACTTTCCCTTCACACCTGGAATCGATGACCAATCTGATGAACCGTTCTTGAATGTACCTGCAGCAGTAGCCGCAGAGGAAGGTGTTCAAGTACCTCTTATGATTGGGTCAAATACCTTGGAAGGTCTTGTCTTACTACGGGGTATGTATTAACGGAGAATCACGGCTTTGACAATTCATCCGTTGGCTCTCACCATCGCCCGTTCACCACTTCAAGCTGAGACTGTGTATGTACTCTCATGCTGATTTTCTCTGTCTTGAGGTGCGGTGATCGAGATGATTGGTGGAGCTAGAAGCGGTCGACGACTGCGAATGAAGAAGAGAGACGGTGAACGCTGGATCGAGGGGGACGAAGGGGAATAATTGACGTGAGAAAGAGAGTTTAAGAGAGAGTCGTCGATTTACCGACGGGTTTAGAGTTGTGTTCGGGCGCGGCAACGTTGGGTTTAAGTTAATGAGGATACACCCCGGGGGACACATTGGTCAGGTTTTGTTGTTGGTGGTGGCTCGATCACACCCAGCCAGATTTGAATCTCGACATCGTGGCGTGTAAAGATGTCCGCGGACGATGCGTGCGATCATTTATTCGATCGGAAAGCAAAAACAGCCTGCCGGTAATTCTATTCATGCGTTTGGGCAGATTAGCATTATCGCCGGAATCACATCTAATTCTATACTGGATTTTTTATGAGCGGCAATGTATTCACCTATTCTCATTCCAACATTAGATTTGCGCACGATTAATCTGCACACACCCGGTATATTATTCAGCCGTCGGAGCGTTCGCGCCTCCTAAATCCATCCCTATTTAAATAATTTGTACAGGCGGCCGCAGGTATAACTCTTCGGGTTTCGTTCGTAATTCTCCATTACAGTATTCATTAACTATCTCATGATTTTACTGCAAAAATGAGTAATTATTGCTATTCTTTCAGCCATAAGAGCACTAGATCTAATAGATATCAATCGGAACTTGGAGCACTACATGTTTTCGAATATCGAAAAAATTCTACAGCGGTACAATTTGACACTGAAAGATTTGCGGCAATTATATTTGAAAAATGATCTAATCTCTAATGAAACTCTACACAAATATCTTGAACTTTTGGGCGATATACTCGTCACAGAGAATATTCACAGGCTCGCGAAAATACAATTTCACAATGGCGCAGCGCCAACCTATCTTTACAAATTATCGTACGAAAAGAATCTCTCGTTGAGTAAAAAACAACTGAACACTGACATCAAGGGCGCCAATCACGGTGACGAATTAATGTATTTATTTCGAGCGCACATCTGCGATACTTTGAACTTGGTGCAGTTGCAAGAAGGAACTGGTGCTGACAGAGTAATGAAACAAATGGTTGAGCTGTGGACGAATTTTGCAAAAACAGGGTATGAATAATCTTACGTTAATTTATCTGTGAGATTTTGATCGACTGTTTTTTTAAATATTTTTAATATTAAAGGAGACCGACTAGCGTCGCGTCAGATTTGTTGCCTCTTTATTGGCAGCCGGTGGGAAGCGACGTTATTCTGCGCTATTTGAATATTGGCGAGGAACTACGTATGGAGAAGGAGTTGAATATCGAACAGCGATACTCTTACAAGAGGAATGATTTTATTATCCATTAATTTATTGATTTTTAAAAACTATGATACTCTGTTACATTTCGTTTATTTTATTTTGACGAAGATAAAAAGTAATAAAAAAAATATTTATCTTTAAGCTTCAATAAATTTAATAAAATAATTGAAAAACAAAGAAAGGCTCGAAAAATATTTCTTTTTTTCAGTCGAATGATGTTCTTAAATGTAATTAATTGAGTTAATCATAATTTTCGTAAACGATATTAATATTTTAATTATAATTCGCGGTTTTTTGAATGCGTAATACGCAACTAAATTTTATAATAAATAAACAATAATTTACAAAACTTCTATCTCAGAAATGTAAATAAACTTAACCCAGCGAAGAAAAGTATTTAACACAAATATAGTTGTAACAAAATATATACAGCACAGAGAATGATATTGACATGCACGAAATTAATGTGGATTGGAGGGTAGCTCTGCTGAATTTCAACATGTACAGTGTGAAGCTTGGATGAATATTGGTTACTCGAGTTGTTCGTGCACCTGTCATGTTTTTGTTACGCAAGGGAACTATCCATTTTTCACAGCGATGTATCGTATAAACTTGATCAATAAACTAGTTGAATAATATATCATTTGACATTCGTTTTATTAATTTTACGGAGTTGTTGTTGGAATATTATCACGAATACAGTAGAAAATTATGTAAATTTATTATCACTCGAACAAAATATTCATAACGCAAGACTAAAGAGCCATCAAAAGGTCATTGCATAACGCGCAATTCAAGTGACATAAATTGTTGGCACGTATGACGGGAACATGCTAACTGAAATTGAAAGACAAGGAGGAATGAAGGACTCGTAGGGATCGAGTAACCTTGGAATGGCTCAAATTAGATATTGTATCTTTAGATATTACAAGATGTAACTTCTGTTATAATGCAAGGCGTATAGCTAAGATCAATGTGGATAGCTTTCGCTCGTTATTTGATCATTTATTTATAGTGGACTTTTCGAAGGTATTCTAGGTTCAATGTATATTATCAATGAGTGTTGCGCTGTAAAATAGTAGATTATTTAATGGCGAGATTGTTTGGACAACGGAAGAACTAACACAATCACATTCCGTCATATTTACGGAAATTTTAAAAGTCTATCATGCAGCGATTACTTTTTTAGTAAATGGTTGATTTGCGAAGTTACATAAAAATTAAGTTAGGCATTTATTATTACAATTAAACAGTAAAATAAATAAGATGAAACAGAATCAAGTGATTTTTGAAATAGCGAACGGCAAATGCGAGATAGTTGTCAGCGAAAAATTGTTCAGACAAGTACTGTGCTTTCAAAGGGATAATGTATGTTAAGTCACCAAAAGTTACCAAACGATGAATTGAGGTTTTAATTGAGTTTTTCATACAAATTAATTGTTCTACCCTGGTTTTTTTATATATAACTTATAACTTGTTGAGTTTTTGTGATATTTATATTAATTAGTGTTAAATTTCTTAATTTCTAAGTTTTATTTATTATTACGAGTATTATATCAAATCCTGTATACAAGTCAGTAATTCACTTCTATGATTTCGGCTCAATACGACTATCCAGTGACCAAAATAATCGGTTTTGACAACTGCTTAAATCTAAATGTATATACAAGAAGTTTTGGTATAAATTCACTAACACCTGCAATATTTCGGTTCAAATTTACCATCGGTTCAATATTATTTTCTTATTAGGTTTATACAATAAGGCGATCGATCAGAGTAGTAGAGCCTGGAGTCCTTTAATGATAACAAAGGAACCTAATCAATTGGAAATTTAGGTTGCAAAACTACAATCTTAAAACGATCGGTGATTTCTTCAATTATATATTTACACATCAAAATATATGAAATGGCGTGGAATTACATTGAAAGAATTGCGATATTTTTACTTAAAAAATGAACCGAGAACCGAACAAATAAACTAAGGTTATTAAAATTTTGACGCGATAGCGCTGTGACATTACGTCCAAAAACTTGTAATATACATTTACATGGGCTGAGAGTCAGCTTATCTGTACAAACTTCCGTTTGATAAGAATCTGTTGTTAAGTAAAATGCAAAGAAAAACTACTGTAATTTGCTTTTCACATTCTCTATAAATTGAATAGTCATGTTGATACAATTCTATGAAAGAAGTTAATCAAGTTGATGAACTGATGTATCTACTCAGAGCTAATGTCTATGACACTTTCAATCTGGACCAATTGCAAAACGATACAGGACGTGATCGAGTTATGAAGCAAATGGTCGATTGTGTGAACAGATTTCGCAAAGACTGAGTATGTTGCATCTAACAATGTACTTGATTGATTTGGGTATATTATTGCAAACTTGAAATGAATTTGGTCAATGATAAACGTCAGCAAATAATTGACAAAAGTATTTTCATCATTTCGGCAAAAGTTCAATGTATCATTCAATTTTCGAAGGACATTAAAAAGATTGTATTTTTACACTATAATCAATAAAGTAGCAAATGACGTCAGTATGTGAGCATTTATAAACGAAACTAGTTCGGAGAGTGAACTAATCGATAAAGCTGTATTGTACTCACCGATGCTCTGACAGATCCAAATGCCGAGCATGTCGAGCTTGAGGAGGCACCTGTAGACCGACTCGCCGTAATTGAGATTCATGAAGACATGATAGAGGAACGAGCCGATCCATGGACTCACCGCACCAATCAGGTGACACCACGACAAAAATCCTGCCAATGCACCACGACTACCCCATGGTAACAGGTATGGCACTGTTGCCAAGATGTAAACGATAGCAAATCCTGCAATAAAAACGTTAATAGTTGTCGAGTAGTTTGTAGAGTAGAGAATTCGATTATGTTACCTTGATAAAGAATACCTATAGCAAATCAGGTAAAGAAGTACAGAATCATACAGTAAAATCTGTAGGTAATTATGTTTAAACTTCAGAATATATTTATGCACCAATTTCTACACAGGTAGATGCATAGGTTTACATGGATATGAATGGATGCAAAACGGAGCATGATTTCAAACTCAATCCTGTATCAGCGTCTGCTGAAAACAGTATTGAGATTTCCTCGTTTATTAATCGCCTTAATTGGAATTTTTTTCTGCATGCAATTGTAAAAATATTTTTATGATAAATTATGTTCTGCATAAATTTTAACAAATGATATGTACAAGAATCACGGCAGGATTTTCTGTAAAAAATATAGGATTCAAGAAACTTAATAGTACAATATCTTTACGGACATATCCATACTTCTGTCAAGAATTCCGAAACGTAAGAGCATGCAACATAACTGAACCTTTTCCTTTTTAAAATGGTCTTGTAAAATAATTTGTTATAAAAAAATGAGCAGAAAATTATATAGAGTAACCTGCAGAAAAAGATGTAGAATTTGATTAAGAAAATTAAATATATTTCTATCGAAAAAAGTGCATACATTATATGAGAGATAACTGTATAGAACATAAGCAGGTACTTGTGTTGAATGCTATACTTCTTAACAGATTTTTTGTAGATATTCTCCATAAGGGTAGTTCTCCTATACTATTAGTAATTTTTTTATGGTGCAATAATTCTTTATTTTCATATTTTCCAAAACTTTTGTTTTACTATTTCAAAGTCCGACAATTGAAAACGTGAGCTTTTTATATTAATATATAATAAACAAAAGTTAATCTTCTTAGTAAAACTTATATTATAAATAAATTTTTGATAACGCAAATAAAAATTTCATTGAAATGCAAAAGTCAATTTTCTAGCATAAAAGTGCAAATTAGAAATGTTTACAGCAGAGCTCTTTCGTTGTAAATTATTTTTTCTCTTCCACGAATTTAAAACATTCCAATTTCAATATTTCAAAAATTTAAAATATTCAATCCAACAATAAACACTTTCACCGTTCACAGTATTTCACTTTTAGATAAATTATGATACATATGACTACGAAAACTTAAATTCATAACATTCGAAAGTTTGATTAATAACTGTCTCTGAGAATTCCCGTTTTCCTCCTACATCAGCATTGTGCGATAAAAAATATTTGAACGGCTAGGTCTATAAAAGTAAGCAAATGTCGAGAGAAAAAAGCCTATAGTTCACACTCGATTGCATCTTTGATTAGCACGCCGGAGCGGAGGAGCCCTTCTTTCGAGTAGACTCTTCCAAGACGGCTTTTTCTTCTCGCAAACATTTTCAAAAGAGATAGCCCTCGCTACGCGCGCGTGTGTGTGCTCCAAACGCGCCCTTGAACTTGGAGCGCGTCGGGAGATAAAAGATAAATGTGAAAAAGGTCTCTATCCACTTATTTACACACTGCAGCTCAAGAGAGACGAAGAGATAGAGGAGCCACCACGTGTGTTGCCGGACAGAAGAGAGAGAGAGAGAGAGATCGATCCTACCCCGCAAGAGAGGGAAGCACTTGAATGGCCGTTATGCAGTCCACGAGCAATGTCAAGGTTGCTCGAGCTCGTTTTTGCAAGGAAAACTAACGACGCGATTGCTCCTATGCTTCTTTTACCTTTTTCCAGCAGTAATGGTTTGTTAAACTTTTATTTATTTTATGGCCCTTTGTAGGCTTGACTTGATGATAAAATTTATGAATATTCCTACGTCGATTTGGTTGAACAAGTTATTATACAGTTTATTTTTTCAATATTTTTAAGCAACGTTGCTTACTCTATAATAAACCATTGTAATTGTCACTTTTAAAAATGTCAAATACAATTATTTTTATACCTTTCTTTTAATTAGATCGGCGAATATTGACGATCCTCGTTAGAATCAAAGCGAATGCCAACATTTGAGTACCTCCAGTGCGACAGCTTGCAAATTTTTACTATTTGAATTGAGATATAATGAATAGCGGATATCTTGGCGAGACTGAGAAAAATTCATATACCTGTTTGTGTTTGCAGTCAGTGTTCTACAATCACGTTTTCGTTGCGGATTATCCTAATGCTCTTTAGAGTTTGTCTTTGAAAGCTCAAATATAATCGACTTTGAGGGATTTGATCAAAGGTTTACGGTAGGGATGCATTCATTAGCAAAAGAAATTTGCAGGTTTTTTTTAATCTACATACAATCAGTTTTTCGAGTCAATTACGTTTACAAACACTTATAAGAAAATACCGCAATTTGAGTTGTTGGAGAAATAAAATGTGAATTGATGTATTGTTATTACGTAAATACGAAACCAGCAGCACAAATATTTTTATATATGTAAAGGAAACTCGTTGCCTTGACTGCTGCCAAGTTGTACTCTCTCGGCCAAAAAAAACTATATGTTTTGCGGTATACATTGAAGTCAAATTTAATTCAACTCGGACGGGCGTGAATTGAAGGAAATGGGGGTAACGAGGGCACATGTTAAATTAGAATCTGTATAGCAGGCATGACTATTTCGTTTGATTTTATGCGATATGCAATGGCGCATTCAAAGCTATTGAAATCGCGAAAAGTCAGTTCACGCGTTTGATGTTTTGATGTAATAATATACCGCGGATCATCACGTTATTATAACTGATAAATCAATTAGCCT